AGTAGTTTCAGTGTGTGTGGGTTTTGATGACATGCGTGTCACAACTCTAAAGGCTGATTTTGGGTCAATTTGATGACCACTCATCATCATTAGATGTTTTGCGAATGGACGAGGCTGGGTTTTGTTGATCGATTTTGAAATGACGGGCTAGGTGGTGGATGAATCATGGATTTGATTAACCATTTTGGAATATGTTCCCCTATCCTGTCTTCCAATCGGCGATCTGTCCTACCTAAGTAACTTTCTCCGCAGTTACATGTGAATTGGTAAATACAGTGGGATTTGGACTGAATCGGTCTTGGAGACTTGATTGGGGGGTAACTGAGATCGATTGAGTTGTTGTGATAAACCTCAGATTAGCTGTATTGAAGGTCTTTTTTATTGCAGCTGCAGTCTGTTTGGTTGTAATTTTCATGCAGTGATCACCTTTGAAAAGTAACTGTAGGTACACTGGTTTCAATATGTTTGTTGATTGACGATTGACTTGAGTGTTAAACTTCTAAGAATTATCTGGCGTGTTCTTTGTGTTCCATCTACCCAGTATTTCACAGCATTGTTCCAATCGAATGTATGTCCATAGTTGTCAGTGTGTATTGATATAAGGGAAGGAATGTCATGGCGTTTGACTGCCAATTGATGTTCACTTGGGCGTATCAGAATCGGACGTCCACTTTATCCTATGAAGTGTTTTTCACAGTCAGAGTTCAGAAAACAAAACTCCTTCACATTGGAAGATATACCCAGGACACTGTAACAGTAGTTCACATACCCTATCACATTTCCTCATGATGGGAGAAGTAGATCGGGATGTGCATGGTTCTATTATGAGCGAGTAAACTATTCCTCTGGCTGGTGAAATCAATACTCAGACGTACGATTCAATGTGGACATACACACTCATGTATTATACATACGTACACATACACTGACGGTTTTTAATAATAAAGTACACACTCTTAGAATCCCCTGTGCATTAATGTTTAGTTACTTACTAACTTACGCCTGTTAACCCGAATGGAGCATAGGCTGCCGACCAGTATTCGCCAACTTACTCTGTCCTGGGCATCCTTTTCCAGTTCTATCCAACTGTTGTTCATTCTTCACATGTATGTCCCCGTTTCTCGTTGTGATGTGTTCCTTGGTGTTTCTCTTCTCCTTTGACCTTGAGGGTTCCGAGTGATGGCTTGTCTTGTGACGAAGTTGAGTGCTTTCCTCAATGTGTCCTATCCACCAACTCCAGCACTTCTTCTAAACTTCTTCATATACTGGAATCTGGATTGTTCTCTCAAACAGCAGGTTGTTGATGATGGCGTCTGACCACAACGGATCTGAAGTATTTTGCGTAGACAGCTGTTAATGAACTCTTGCATCTTCTGACTGATGGCTTTGGTAGCTCTCCAAGTTTCCACCCTATACAGTAGAACTGTCTTGACATTTGTATTGAAAATCCTGATTTTGGTGTTTTGTTGATAGTTGTTTAGAGTTCCAGAGGTTTTTCAATTGTAGAAATGTAGCCCTTGCTTTGCGGATCCGTGCCCTCTGCATCAGATCCACCTTCAATGTCGATGATGCTGCCCAGATATATATGTGAAGCTATAATATTTGGTCGAAAGTTAGAAACTTATTATCGATCACTGATAGAGTATAACATTTATATCTGTTTCACTCATCATGTTGATCACTGAACTCCACCAGGCACTACAAACTGAATAATTTTCTCAGTCAGTCAGATGCAACGTAGAACTTTGTACGTACGTACGTACGTCAGTTCATGTTGCCATACCCCAACAGCACAGAGATGTAATTGTCAATTCAAATCCAATAGTAGTAGAGGTAGTAAAGGTATTAGAACTAATCGGAGAGGTTAGGATTAGAAGACATTATTCAAGAAGTATAATTCAGTGAGAAAAGACTAGAAAGTCAAAAGTAGAGGTGTTGAAGAATCCAGAAGATTACGATTTGAGAGAGCACAAAGAATAAATGCACCGGCGCCATTGCGAACGATTTTGAGTCATGTCATTCAAGGTCTCTAACCATCGATTATTATCATCTCGCGGACCCCAACCAAGGTAGTCGACAATTACCAACAAGGCTAAGTCCACTCGTCAATGACTTCATCGATTACTGCCATGATTTGGTTTAGCCGTCCCCAGCTTTTTTCCAACTTATTCCTACACTACAAAACATATCTCGACGAGGCAGTCGGTGGTTGGGCATACGCAACACATCTCACAACCACCTAAACTGATGAAGTTTCAATACTTCATCTATTGATTTGCAATTCCCACCTTGCACACCATCCCTAATAACATCGTTGCTCACTCGAGTGTCCCAGGATATACGAGCAATGCTTCGAAGACACCTATGATCGAAAACCAGTAACCTACGAATATCTTCTACTCTCACTGGCCATGTTTCACAGCCATAAAGTAAGACGGAGCGAACTACTGCGCAGTACAATCGTCCTTTAGTCAGCAAACGGATATCTCGCCTACACCATAAGTGACGCAGGTTGGCAAAAGCCAATCGAGCCTTCTGTATCCGAGCTGAGATTTCGTCAGTCACCAGGCCATCGGCACTGATGAGACTCCCAAGATAAGTGAAGCGGTCTACACGTTCGACTACTTCACTCCCTATCACTAGTTCAGGTGCCTATGCAACCCAGTCTAGAGTTGATTATTTCAAAAATATAATTATACTTATCACTCATACCGGCGATCAAATTCAAGGTATCTAATCAACAATATGAAAGAGTTTTTTATACTGTTCAAAGAACGAACTATTATTCACTACCCATATAAAGTCTTAATTGAAATACCATTTCTAAAAAAATACAGTTAAGCTTTTTTAAACTAATGACAATTCGTGTTATTTAATCAAAATGCTATTACGGTTAAATGATTATTTGGTTTGCACTGCGGGGTTGTGAAGATTGTTAAGATACACATTTTCGAAACCATGAATCGATCAATGTTAGACCACGCGCATTAGAAACCTGGAAGCACTAGACGGTCATTTCGTCCTTGTATGAGACTACTCCTCAGCAGTGCGCATTCACGACTCCTGTACCCCGCAGGATTCGAATCTTCACAACCCCGTAATGCAATTACTTACCTTTGCTCACTAGTGACTAGCTTCGTGAGGAATCTTCTCCGAGTTCTAGTGGGAAGACGTGACCAGTGAAGGTCAACCTGTTCGGGTGTAGACAGTAACTACGGAAGACTGTGTATGAGGTTGCGCAACTCTGTGAATTGATCAAGTTAGACATTAACACCGTTAGATACCGGCTCATTGGTCCGATGTCTAGGCGTTCGCGTACAATACCGAAGGTCCTGGGTTCGAATCCTGTGGGGTGTGGAAGTCGTGGATGCGCACTGCTGAGGGGTCCCATACCAGGACGAATCGGCCGTCCAGTACTTCCCTGTTTCTAATGGTGTTCTAACATTGATCGATTAATGGTTTCAAAAACGATTATTTGGTTGTATTTATATATTGTCAATCTAATTTGGACGCTTAAATTGCTTATCATCATAGTGAAGTTTCTAATCATCATTAATAAAGCACTCTCCCCGAATTGATATATTTTTTACGTTTAGTAAGTTCGTATTTCTGTAGGGGATCCATGACCTTCAGCCTCGTACGCGAATACTGAATCTCTTGATCATTTGGGCGAAACAAGAAGATCCCCGATCCGATTACCTCTTATGCGGTCGTGGATGCGCACTGACTATGTTGAGACAGTCAGTCAGTCAGTTACAACGTAGAACTTCGTAAGTACGTACGTACATCAGTTCATGTTGCCATACTAACACATTAGCACAGAGATGCAATTGTCGATTCGAATCACATAGTAGTAGAAGTATGGCCAGTAATAGGAAAGATTAGGATTTGAAGATATTATACAAGAAGTTGAATCGATTGAAATAAACTTAAAAAGATTAAGATGATGAGAAATTCAAAAGATTAGAAATTGAGACAACACAAAGAATGGATGCACCTGCTCGATTGCAAACGATTATGTGCCATATCATTCAGGGTCTCTAACCATCTCGCGGACCCCAAACCAGGTAGTCTACATCTACTAACATGACTCAATCCAGTTGTCAGTGACTTTATGGATTTGTGTCATGTTTTGGTTTGACCGCCCCCTTAGCTTTCTTTCAATCTAATGATGACTCCCATACTAGAACGAAACAGTAGTTCATTGCTTCCATGCGCATATCAGAGTTGAAACGAGGTAGGTGGCTAATTCTAGTTCTGGTACTGTCCTATGATAGGTACACCATACCTTATTAGAAAAAGATCAAAGTTTTAACTTTCTAATCTCAATACGTATATATGACGATACTTTTAAGCCATAGTATGATAGATACTACTACTCACAAAGTGGCATAGAAGTAGTAAACAGCGGAGAGTCGGCTAAACGTTGCTACTAGAGAGAAGAGTATTGTCAAGAGATCTAAGTGCACACAGTATGACTAGATTAATTTAAAAATCAGAAGGCTAATTGTTAGCAGGACATAGATTAGATGAAAGCATGATTGAGTTGTTTGTTGCACACTGATTGGCTCTTTTGTGTCCAATCAGCGCTAGCCAATAAAAACTGAGGGAACATTCTAGAATCTTCTCATGTATGAAAAACTATAAATACTCACTAACTTTCATCTAACCTTGTTATCGGAATATAATCCTCCTATTTCCTGTTCAACCGTGTTCTGATTCGGGACAACGTCTCGAGTGAATCAGTGTCCGAGAATCCCTAAGCATTAGGAATATCTAGGTTGTACTTAAAGAGAGAACTATAACACTAATCAACGAAGACAGTTGTCAATAAATTGTTTGGATTGTAGTAAATAGGTAATTGAACATTGATTGATCCAATGTTCATGATCAGTGTTCAATGTGTGAAACTCACAGGCCTCCACAACCTCCTTCCCTTACACACACGCACACACACACACTAACTAACAATCATTATGAATTTCTGTTTAAAATTAAAGATGCTTGGCAAATGGATTCACCAGCAAAAGAAATTGACACAGCAAAATCAATAACCTCATCATCATCATCACTGCAGCAGCAGCAGCCGCCACCGCCAACAACTACAACCACAACCACAACAACAGCGGTTACAACTCCCAATACCCCGTCGACGTCTACGTCATCGTCATCATCAATAATGTCTGCTGTTCATAATAAACCTTCTCTACCTGGTCCAAGTGGACCAGGTGGACCGAATGTCAATTTGACAGCGGATTGTTTACATCCAGTCAGTAAGAGGAATAATGCAGTGAAATCATTAAACAACAAAGTACCCGCTGATTCAACAAAGATTTCAAATCAATCGAGATATTCACTTGACAGTCGTCGTACAGCAACGTATCGATTAAAAAATCCTCGAATAATTAGTAAACTTGAAGATAAATTATTTGAAAAGGTAATTTTTCATTGAGTTTGTTTTTTCATTTTCTTGGTGTTGTTAAATGTTCAATTTTTGTGTAGATGAAAAAAAATTTATCTTGCTATTCATTGATTGTGTTACGTAATTTGATTGCCATACACCTGTAGTGGTGCGCGCTACTTATAAGTAGTATATGACGCGAGTGTGTAAACGTAATGTCTGGCAGCAGAAGATGGGGGAAGATCAAGAAAGCAAGAAGAGTGGGAACACAATGGAATTTGTATGAAACGCATGAATAGTAGTGAAATGTCAGACAATGGATTGATGATGGATTGAAGATTTGCAAATTAACCGTTTACGATATGGTTTTCCTATTTTACTGATTAACTCTGTAGTCTTCGGTAAATACAATTCGGTTGCCCTCACGTGTGTTGTCCTTCACTACACTGTTACCCCTTGTGCAGTATCGGGGAGCAACCAGGATTCTCCAACCGCACTCTCTCTGTCTGGGGCTTTCTTTTCCAGCTGTTGCAACGTAGTCTTTATTTCTCTAACATATTCTTTGGTCTTCGGCTTTTCCTTTATAAGTCAAGGTATACCTCGTTACACAGTTGGAAGTGGTCTATAACGTGATTCCTATTCACCTTCACTCTTTATTTCTTTATCAGCTGGAATGTGCTTCGTTCTTTTCCACTGTACACCGTTGCTCCGTTCGATTCATTTTAGGGATTCACTCAAAATAAAGACAGTAGTCAGTCAGTTACAACATAGAACTTTGTACGTAGGTACTTAAGTTCAGGTTGTCATACTACATTAGTACAGAGACGCAACTGTCAGTTCAAATCCCATAGTTGTAGAGTTAGTAAAAGTATTTGCAGTAATCGGAGAGATTACAGTTCGAGGATATTATTCAAGAAGTATAACCTTGGGAAATAAACCTAAAAAGAGAAAGATTAGGGTGATGAGGAATTCTGAAGATTAGGATTTGAGAGAACACAAAGAATGGATATATCTGCGCCACTGAAAACGGTTTCGACCCATGTCATTCTAGGACTCTAATCGTCGGTTAGTATCATCTCACGGACCGCAAACCAGGTAGTCGATACCTGCCTACATGACTCACTCCACTTGTCAGTGACTTCACCGATTTGTGCCATGTTTTGGTTTGGCCGCCCCTTGATTTCTTCCAATCTTCTCCTACACTGCAAAACATAGCTCGTCGCGGCAGTCGGTGGTTAGGCATACGTAACACATGTCCCAACCACCTCAACTGATAAAGTTTTAATACTTCATCTATTGATTTGCCATTACTGCCTAGTACTTGTTTCCTAACGACAGCATTGCTTATTCAGATGTCCTAAGATACACGAGCGATGCTTCGAAGACTTCTATAATCCAATACTGATATCCTCAACTCTTACCGGCCATAATTTATATCGGTATAGTAGGACGGAGTGGACTGCTGCGCAGTACACTCTTCCTTTGTTTGACAAACAGATCTATCGCTGACACCCTAAGTGATGCAAGTTGGCAGAAGCCAATCGAGCCTTCTGTATCCGTGCTGAGATTTCATCAGTCACCAATCCATCAGCACTGATGAGACTACGCGATCAATATTTTCGCATGACATCACATTTCTTACGATGAAATCTTCTTATTTCGTTCAATCAACAATATCATGATTATTATTATTATTTTTCTAAAATCAATCAGGTAGATTTTGTTGATGACCTTACATCCGATCAAAGTATCACTGATAATAGTAATGATAAAATAAAAAATCAACAATCATGTTGTGATTTGGAAGATTTAGAAAATGATCCATGTCGTGTAGAAGGCAATCATTCTTTGATGATGAATAATACAAGTAAACAAGTAAGTAGTATATATATATATGTATATATAGTAGTATATATATATACATATCTGGTTAGAATATTGATCGAGTTGATAGTTAGTTCAATGTTGAATATTTGATTAGAGTTATGAGAAGACATCTTTAAGGAACTATTGAATCGACCAGCTCCACTGAACCCACCCAACATCGAAGCAGCATCCACGGACCTCCCAATCAATATTGGCGCACCCACGATTGAGGAGATCAGTATAGCCATCAGACAAATCAAGAGAGGCAAAGCAGGAGGACCAGACAACATTCCAGCAGAGGCAATGAAAGCAGATGTGGAAGCAACTGCGAAAATATTTCACATTCTCTTCAAGAAGATTTGGGATGAGGAACAAGTACCATCAGATTGGAAAGAAGGATACCTCATCAAAATACCAAAGAAAGGCGATCTCAGCAAGTGTGAGAACTACAGAGGCATCACTCTTCTTTCAATACCAGGCAAAGTCTTCAACAGAGTATTGTTAAACAGAATGAAGGACTTCGTAGACGCCCAACTTCGAGATCAACAGGCTGGATTTCGTAAGGATCGATCATGTACTGACCAAATTGCTACATTACGGATCATTGTGGAACAATCAATTGAATGGAACTCACCACTCTACATCAACTTCATCGACTACGAGAAAGCATTTGACAGCGTGGATAGGAAAACACTGTGGAGGCTTCTTCGACACTACGGTGTGCCTGAGAAAATAGTCAACATTATACGGAATTCTTATGATGGATTCAACTGCAAAATCGTACACGGAGGTCAGCTGACAGACTCTTTTGAGGTGAAGACCGGTGTGAGGCAAGGTTGCTTACTCTCACACTTTCTCTTTCTCCTGGTCATCGACTGGATTATGAAGACGTCAACATCTGGAGGGAAGCACGGTATCAACTGGACAGTTAGGACGCAGCTGGACGATCTGGACTTCGCAGATGACCTGGCTCTTCTATCGCACACACAACAACAAATGCAAGAGAAGACGACCAGTGTAGCAGCAGCCTCTGCAGCAGTAGGTCTCAACATACATAAAGGAAAAAGCAAAATTCTCCGATGCAACACAACATGCACCAACCGAATCACGCTTGATGGAGATACCTTGGGGGACGTTAACACCTTCACATATCTTGGCAGCATCATCGACGAGAAAGGTGGATCGGACGCAGATGTGAGGGCGCGGATTGGCAAAGCGAGGGCTGCATTTCTACAATTGAAAAATATCTGGAACTCCAAACAACTTTCAAACAAAACCAAAATCAGGATCTTCAATACAAATGTCAAGACAGTTCTACTGTATGGAGCGGAAACATGGAGAACTACGAAAGCCATCATCCAGAAGATACAAGTGTTTATTAACAGTTGTCTACGCAAAATACTTCGTATTCGTTGGCCAGACACCATCAGCAACAACGAACTGTGGGAGAGAACAAGTCAGATTCCAATGGAGGAGGAAATCAGGAAGAAGCGGTGGAAGTGGATAGGACATACACTACGAAAAGCACCCAACTGCGTCACTAGACAAGCCCTTACATGGAACCCTCAAGGCAAAAGGAAAAGAGGAAGGCCAAGGAACACACTACGCCGAGAAATAAAGAAAGATATGAGCGGAATGAACAAACATTGGACAGAACTGGAGAGGGAAGCCCAGGACAGAGTTGGTTGGAGAAAACTGGTGGGCGGCCTATGCTCCATTGGGGGTAACAGGCGTAAGTAAGTAAGTAAGTAAGTAAGTATGAGAAGACATATTTTGTGAGATAGTAATATCATTTCGGGCTTTCTCGTCAGTCACACACATACAAGCAACATGTTATTCGTGTGTAAATACAGTTTTTATTTAGCATGACATTCACTTACTAGAACCATGGTAAGTAAACAAAGGTCAACACATACAGTTGTTTTTGAACACATGAAGTTGGTTTGACTTTTCCTACCAATCAAGATAGCTTCGAGTAGTTTCAGTGTGTGTGGGTTTTGATGACATGCCTGTTACAACTCTATAAAGGCTGATTTTTGGTCAATTTGATGACCACTCATCATCATTAGATGTTTTGCAATGGACGAGGCTGGGTTTCTTGATCGATTTTGAGATGACAGGCTAGGTGGTGGATGAATCATGGATTTGATTAATAACCATTTTGGAATATGTTCCCCTATCCTGTCTTTCAATCGGCGATCTGTCCTACCTAAGTAACTTTCTCCGCAGTCACATGTGAATTGGTAAATACAGTGGGATTTGGACTGCATCGGTCTTGGAGACTTGATTGGGGGGTAACTGAGATCGATTGAGTTGTTGTGATAAACCTCAGATTAGCTGCATTGAAGGTCTTTTTTCATTGCAGCTGCAGCCTGTTTGGTTGTAATTCTCATGCTGTGATCAACCTTGAAAGGTAACTGTAGGTACACTGGTTTCTTGGGTACATCAGTTGCTATCAGCTTCGTCGTAGTTGTGTTCTGATGACCAATAAACGTTTCAGGATATCCGTTTGATTTAAGTGTCTCAGTAATAAGCTTGAATTCGTCATTCAATGTATCAGCAGTGTAGATTCTACTTGATCGAGCGAATAAAGTTTTGACAACAGAACGTTTATATTGTATGGGGCAGAAACTAGTGAAGTGGAGGTTGAATAATCAATGAACGCAGTACCGTGCGTAACAATCAATAATTTTGAAACAGACAATATGACAGTCAGATTGAATTGTTTAAAGACATGGTTTGTTCACGAACTATGGGCGTATAATGTTGAATTATCGATTTACAATCCAAGCAATTTATTGACTGTCTTCGTTGATTAGTGTTATAGTTCTCTCTTTAGTACAACCTAGATATTCCTAATGTTTAGCATTCTCGGACACTGATTCACTCGAGACGTTGTCCCGAATCAGAACACGGTTGAACATGAAAACAGATTATATTTCGATATCAAGGTTAGATGGAAGTTAATATATATGAGAAGATTCTAGAATGTTCCCTCAGTTTTTATTGGCTAGCGCTGATTGGATACGAAAGAGCCAATCAGCATGCAACAAACAACTCAATCATGCTTTCATCCAATCTATATCCCGCTAACAATTAGCCTTCTGATTTTTAAATTAATCTAGTCATACTGTGTGCACTTAGATCTATTGGGACTACTCTTCTCTCTAGGTAACAACTTTTAGCCGATTCTCCGCTGTTTTTACTACTTATATGCTACTTTGTGAGTAGTAGTATCTATCATACCATGGCTTAAAAGTATCATCATATATATATATTGAGATTAGAAAGTTAAAACTTTGATCTTTTTCTAATAAGGTATTGGGTACCTATCATAGAAAAGTACCGAAACTAGAATTAGCCAACTGCCTAGTTTCGAAACTCTAAGAAGCAGGTACTAACAGTCTTACTTTCCACTATTGCTGTTATAATTATTATAACTAGAAGAACACCGGAAAAGTTAGAACTATTGAGTAGATAACTGTATTATTGTGTCTATCTGCTCTCATCAGTGTAAGTTTCCAATGGACCCATATGATGTGATGCAGTTAAACGTTTAACTATCCTTTAGTAGTTAAAGGTAATTAATTATGTACTGTTTTCCTCGTCCAATGAAGTATAATGTTTTACTTGATGTTATGTGCTGTTGACTAATGGATATCTAAAATAATTGTTGGTGAGATTGGATAGGTTGGGTGACGTGGCTTGCGTCTGTAATCTAGCTACCGGCAGACCAAAGTGCGGGATTTTGCAAGACTGGTAGTTCTGACATGTGGATGTGTTGACGTCGGATAAATGAAATACATGTTTTTATTAAAACCTGACTTCTCTTCGGACTCAAGACATAGGATAGAATAAAAGCATGAGGATAACAGACCAATAAGAGTGTAGCTTGCTCTGTCTCTCAAGGTTGATGGTGCAAGCAAGTCAGAACGTACAAGTAACCACGTCTAAGATGTCAGACTATAATAGACAGAATGGTAATCAGATTTCAGATTGATGAATTCAACACGTGTTATTGATTAACGTCTCAAATTATATTAGTTATTATCTTGTCACTTTTCCTCCAATCACGAACTACTTGGTAATCTCTCTTTTTTTAAAAAATTTGTGACAAACTCTTGATACAAACAAATACTGTATATTGGTTTAGTCAGTTCAATTCATATGCCAACAGTACAAATTTAAATAGTCAGCTTCTAGTCTTAGTAACTTCTTAACAAAGCCTATTAACTGGGTGCTTCAAACTAATTAAATACAAGGAGCGATGTTTTAACTTATCACTTAATGCTCTATTGACTTACCTAATATTTCATCAGTATGTATTAACTGAAGTATAACTTACTTACTTACGCCTGTTACCCACAATGGAGCATAGGTCGCCAATCGACATTCTCCAGCCTACTCTGTCCTGGGTTTCCCTTTCTAGTTCTGTCCAATTTTTGTTCATTCCTCTCATGCCTGTCTCCGTTTCTCAGCGTAATGTTTTCCTTTGTCTTCCTCTCTTTCTTTGACCTTGAGGGTTCCAAGTGAGGGCTTGTCTTGTGACACAGTTGGGTGCTTTCATCAATAAGTGTATGTCCTATCCACCAACTCCAGCGCTTCTTCGTGATTTTCTCCTTCACTGGAATCTGGTTTGTTCTATCCCACAGTAGATTGCTGGTAATATTGTCTGGCTAACGGATCCGAATCATTTTGCTCAGACAACTGTTAATAAACACTAGTACCTTTCGTATGAGTTATTATTCCTCATCTTTGCAAGTTTATCATCATTATTCACAGACTCCTCACCTATTCACAGCCACTTTTGGTTTTGCTCATGTATTAAAAATGTATTTTCTCATTCATTCTATTGTGTGATGTAATTACTTACTTACTTTCGTCTATTATCCCCGATGGAGCATAGGGGGTCGACCAATCGTATTCTCCGACCTGGGCTTCCCTTTCCAGTTCTGTCCCGGTGTGATGTAGTCTCATAAATATGACTAATAAACTATCTGTTTGAAATAAAACGATGTTTTTAGTGGTAGAAAGAAAAAGTCTATCGCGTTATGGACCAATAAGGATTTAGAATTGATTCAAGGTTACCGATGTGTTAAAACATCATCCTGATTGGTGTTTTATATATTTTTTGTCACGTGATACTGATTAATGGTTTGAAGGGATAAAACAATTATCGTAATTTACTGTTCCTTGATGCGATTTGACATTGAATATCATTTGTATCATAACATGCACCAGAACAATTCATTCATGAGTTTGATAAGATGACGCAGAATCTAGAAAACCTCTTTCGTTAGGGGTTATGTATGTGTATTTAGGTATACATCTAATCTCTTAAGAGCATGGATACCTTCTATAGGATAAAAAATTCACTATTGGCCCAACTTCACAGTCTCAAATGTTATTGCCGTGTTAGAATATTCATCCAACATCCTAAGAGAATTATTGGTCAAATCCTATTGGTCGATTTCTGTTGGTCACAATTATGGTCGTTTTAACTGTCAAAGTCAAATACTTCAATGTTGTCTCTTATTGGTCATCCGGACTGTCAATGTCATTTCAAATGTTACTTACTATTGGTCGTCTTAACTGTCAATTCCACAGAATTCGATGCTGTTTCTTATTCGACCAAAATGTATAAATACGCATTATTTTTAACGTTTTATGACCACGACTAGGACCAGGGTTCGGTGCCGGATCCCTAGTCTGTGATCTTGATACTCTTCTGGATTCGGACCTCGTACTTTCAGGATGCTTGTAGAATACAGGTTCTACTTCATATCACGTCTTCTTATTTTCACTGAATATGGGGGTTGGGATAATCGGTCAAATTTGAGTAGCATGTCATGTCACCGGATGCTTGATCCTCGCTCTCGCGTTTCCGACTAAGGGGTAAACTCGTAATAGTTCAAGTATAGACCAAGTTGACGTATTCACATGCAGGCGTAACATGCCCCCGAAATATTTTTTATCAATGAACCGGTTTTTTAATAATCTGTTTATTCAAAATATGCAATTATCAATGTGAAGTGATATTGATTTTCTCTGCTGTTTTTTGTTTGCTAACAAAATTCTCTTCAATCAATCTATCTATCTATCTATTAACAAATAATAAAGTTGAATCGATCAGGTTCATTGCCAAATATTAGTAATTTTTTCCCAACTACCAATACATTATCAAATGCTGTTGAAGAACATCATCATCAACAAACTGATGAACAAGTTGTATCACTGGAAAATAACGATTTACCTATTGTTGATAATTATGCTAATAATTGTTATGATACAAAGTAAGTTTGATGTTTTTTTTCTGTTAAATTTTTGGACATGAAATCATAAACCCAATGTTTGTAAGGTTAGGTAATCATTGAAAAGAGTAGGAACACTGGATGACTGTTTTTTTTTTAAAATCTTAGACTTATCTAGCTAGAAATTGTTTGTAATGGTGCAGGTGCATCCACTCTGTTGTGTTCTCTCAAATTCTAATCTTCAGAATTCGTCATCTCCTCTATCTTTCGCTTTCTAATGTTATCTCACTGGACTACACTTCTCGAACAATATCTTCGATCCCTAATATTCTCCATCACCATTAATACCTCTACTATCTCCTCCATTATGGGATTCGAACTGACAGTTGCGTCTCAGTACTAATGCGGTATGAACTGACGTACAAAGTTCTATGTTGTAATTAACTGACTGACTGACCAATCTGTCAGTTAGTTACTACGCAGAACTTCGTACGTACGTACATCAGTTCAAGCTGCCATACCATATTAGCACAGAGATACAATTATCACTTTGAATCCCATAGAGGTAGAGATAGTAGAAGTATTACTGGTAATAGAGAAGATTAGGGTTTGAAGATATTATTCAAGAAGTATAATTCAGTAAGATAACTTTAGAAATAGAAAGATAAAGATGATGAAGAATTCAGAAGATTAGAATTTCCTAGTACACAAAGAGTGGATGCACCTGCATAGCAAACGGTTTTGAGCTATTTCATTCAAGGTCTCTAACCATCGATTACTATCATCTCGCGGACCCCAACCAGGTAACCAGCCTACATCTACCAACATGAGTCAGTCCACTTGTCAGGAACTTCATGGATTTGTGTCATGTTTTAGTCTGACCGCACCAGACCAATCTTTACATCCCTTATACTGATTATTATCATTATGTATTCACCAATAATTATATTCAACAGAGGAATTCAGAAGTTCTAATGAGGAACTATGATCAGTGAACTTCAATTGTATCGGGTATGAGGAAGTTACTCACTGTAATTGATGGCATAACAATAGATTCGGACTCAGAGACTAGTTAAAGGTTTATCATTCACGTGGTATATCGAATATCTCGGATTCCATCTATGTTTGAAGGATCATGGATGCACACTGCTTAAAAGTTTCATAAATGTAGTATAATAATGATGATTATTTTATATCTTGGTTTGGTAAGTCAAGAAAGGTTACTTCGCATATTCTGAACTAGTCAGTAATGTGAGGATTTGTTTCACTGTGAACAAGTAAATTACAATTTAAGTACATTCAGCTGAACTTGTCTTGATAAGGGCAAATGTATATCTTTAGATTCGATCACCAGTGTCTCTATGTAATATCTAATCAAGAATGTTCATGTGTACTAACCAATAAAATAATGTATTTAGGCGTTTCATCCAATTTCCGACTGGTCAGTGTATTTTCATTCCAGAGTTAATGTTCGTTCTTTCAGAGACTCGAACCCAGTATGGTTTAATTCAAACACTAGCCATGTTATCCACTTAGCTAATTAGTTTAAACGATCACTAGCTAGTGCGACGGGCTTAAGTTTTATACAGTTGTACTTGGTAGAGTAGTGTTGTGCATGAAAACTCAGGTGAGGACATTAACATCTATATTTTAAGCGAATATTACAGAGTTGTTAAGCATATATATACAAAACCTTCCCGTGAAATCATCATCTGTAAGCTAATCCTTATTTGTTTCAGATTTCAGTGTTCTTTCATTTAGACTGTTCAGTCTTCAGTTCACTTTACGTTACACCTACAAATCGCCTTTCAGTTTCATTCTTTCCTTCTCGATCTTTTGTTGTCAGACGTTTGATTTCCTCCGTTTGATCTCATATACTACTTATGTGAACATAAGTAGCGTACACCATAATAGTTTGAATTTTCCCATCTATAGTTTTATTTGTAACCATGAATCGATCAATGTTAGACCACCATTAGAAACCTGGAAGCACTGGACGGCCGTTTTGTCCTGGTATGGGACTCATCAGCAGTGCGCATCTACGACTCCTGCTCCTCGCAGGATTGGAACCCAGGACCTTCGGTATTGTGCGCGAACGCCCTAACCGTTAGACCACTGAGCCGGTATCTAACGGTGTTAATGTCTAACTTGATCAAATCCACGGAGTTGCGCGACCTCATACCCTGTATACATCCGGACAGGTTTGAATTTCACTGGTCACGACTTCCCACTAGAACTCGGAGAAGATTCCTCACCAAGCTAGTCACTAGTGGACACATGTCATTGCATTGCGGGGTTGTTGTGAAGATTGTTAAGTTTTATTTGTATCCTGCGAGGAGCAGGAGTCGTTGATGCGCACTGCTGATGAGTCCCATACCAGGACGAAACGGCTGTCCAGTGTTTCCAGGTTTCTAATGGTGGTCTAACATTGATCGATTTATGGTTACAAATAAAACTTAACAATCTTCACAACAACCCCACAATGCCATCTATAGTTGTTAGCTTGAAGAGTCCCAACGACAATCTGAAATCACTCCACTTATAATGCACAACATATGCTTTAAAAGACTGATAAATTCTAGTCCTAACTATATCCATAGGAAGGAAGATTCTAGCAACCAATTTAATACGTTAAGAGAAAAACACTTGTAATTATTTTATTAAAAAATAATTTTTACTACTTACTTATACATTTGTTAGTAACACAAATGTACATCAAGAATATGATCCGCTGACAAATCCTTTTCATTTTCGAAGTAATCATGAAACAATGCTTGAAGAGGACAAGTCAACAATAATTCATAGTCAATGCAAAAGAAATTTAGAAATTCAAGATGATGATGATGATGACAAGGATATTGAATTAGTACGTCAAAGTATGTTACAAGTAATATTGAATACAGATAAAAATCATATGAATAATGATGACCATGATGATCATGATGATGATGACGACGAATTGTTATCGTCGTCATCCGTATCAGTTGATATCAATGCAAATGGTACAAATTATTCATTGACAATGTCCGAATTGACTATTGAACAATCCTTATCAGTAAAACAAAAATTATGCGCTAATAATCAATCTTGTTCGGTAGAACCAAAGTCAATTAGTATGGTTGGTGATGATGAAATTCAATCAGAACGAATTATTATTTCATCAAAGAGAAGAAAATATTCATCTAGTCAAGTGTTGAATTGTAAACATTTCAATTTGTCCAGAAAACGATCAGGTATTTAATTTTTTTTTATGGAAAAAAAATCTTACCAAATAAAGTTCCTATTTGATTTTAAAATATTTAGGTGCATGCCTAACCACCGACTGCCTCGACGAGCTATATTTTGTGGTGTAGGGGTAGGTTGGAAGAAAGCTAGGGGTGGCCAGACCAAAACATAGCACATATCAATGAAGTCACTGACAAGTGGACTGAGTCATGTTGGTAGATGTCGACTACCTGGTTGGGGTCCGCGATATGAAAGTTATCAATGGTTATAGAGACCTTGAACGAGATGGCTCAAAATCGTTTGCAATGGCGCAAGTGCATCCATTCGTTGTGCCCTCTCAAATCCTAATCTTCTGGATTCGTCAACACCTCTACCTTTGTCTTTCTAAACTTATCTCACTGAGTTATACTTCTTGAATAATATCTTCGAACCCTAGTCTTCTTCATTACCATTAATACCTCTACTATTTTTATCACTATGGGATTTGATTTGACATTTGTGTCTCTGTGCTAATGTGGTTGTTAGTGGGACATAGATGGAATGAAAGCATGACTACGTTGCTACGCGCTGATTGGCTAATTTCCTATCCAATCAACGCCTGATCGATTATTGGAGAACAGGGTAGAAGATCCTCGTATTGTTAGCTGCGTGCTGATTGGTTAAATCTAATCCATTCGATCACGTGGATTTCTATCCAGAAGCTTCTCATGTAAATGCTATAAATAAACTAACGTTGTATCTATTTTTGCCTTCGTCTTCGGCTTCTTATATCCATTTAACCTTGCTATTTGGAATATAATCTTTTCCTGTTCAACCGTGTTTTGAGTCTTGGGAACTTGTCCAGTGTATTGTGGTCAGAGAATACTAAGCAATAGGATTTAGCTGGGAATTATCTAAGCAAGCGTTACAACAGTGGTATGTTAACATGAACTTATGTACATCCGTACGAAGTTCTACGTTGCAACTGACTGACTGACTAACTTATTGCTTTTTTTGTTTCTCCTTTTCTTAGCGTCAATTAATCTGCCCATTCAACGAATTACTACTACTACTACTATGAACAATGGCCAACAAACTGAAGAAACTTCATATAAAAGTTATACAGAAATGAATTCAGTGTATAGACAATCACAAAAACATCATACTACTACTTCTTGTTCCTCATTAAATTGTGATGATCATGATCATCAACATCATCACAGTGTGAATCATCCAGATGACATGAATACATCAAGTAGTGGACAATTACGTCATTTTCTCAATCGATTAGATCATGTTTCCATTGAATGTGATTGTTTAACGATGGATAATCATACAACAACCAAAGAGGACAATCGATTATTATTGCTATCAGAGGAAAAGAATACAGATGATGAGATTACGGAAGAATTAGAAGATGACGATGATGTTGTTGTTCATGAGTCGCTGTTGACTGACCGAGAAGGAGCAGCAGTAAACACCACCACCACCACCAGCACCACCACTAACACAACAGCCACATCATTGAACATTGAATGTCAAACTAATTCAATTGTCAATAGTAATCATTTGTATACTAATAATCATGATAATCGTTTAGCTCGTGTCACTGAAGTGAATGAATCGGATTTTGATATTAGTGAGCATGATGACGACAACGATGTTGATGAGGATGACGAGGATGAGGATGATGACGATGACGATGAAAGTTTCAGTGATGATGACGATGATGATACTGACAGTCTGTTGGATGATTCTAATGAATATGATGCTGCAGCAGCAATGAGTGATGATAATCATTCCCTAGCAAAACATTCATCGAAAATCAATGGAATCTATCAAAAGACTGGCAAAACTGGTCGTCGTCATCATCATAATGAAGATGACGATGGTAGTAGCAGTGGTTGTTGTATTCCAAAATCGTCAACAACAACATCAACAATCAATCATGATCAGTTGGACGGGACACAATTTCTTCGTTTAGAACAAATGAGAGCTGAACTAGAAGAAGAATTAGGCTTTGAATTGCTAATTAAAACTTATAATATCATTCAAGTAAGATTATGTGATAGTTTCATGAATCATTTTAAATTATTATTTTTTTCGTTTTTAATCAAGAAAAACATTCTCTCCAGTATAGGAAGAGGTGTACATACATACTGACTGACACATCATCAGCAACATCATCATTCATCATCACCATCCTCTACTACGTTTTCATCACAGCATACAGACAGACTGATAGAAGAGATAGTCTGAGTTATATTATGCCATGACTCATATTGATTTTTCAAGTTGAACACAACAATTCAATAAAGTTAAACAGAGTTGTTGAGATTGGTTGACAATTGAAAAATTGACTAAAACAAAATTTTATCTCTGTATATATATTTGTTTATAAATTCTCTTAGTATACATTGAATTCTTCCACTGAGGAACAAACTGCAAAGTTAATATTTTCAAAAGAAGCACCAATTGCTTCAACAATGCAGGTATGTATTCTGTCTAGTGTGTAATATAATATAAAATAATATTACCAACTAGATTTTATACACACACCTCTAACAACTTTAATTTCCTGTGCACAACAATGAGGGATCAAGCCATTTCAACTTGTGGACAATGTATTGTGTGTTTTATGTGATGAAGAGAGATAGAGAGATAATTCGATTAAATTTGAGATTGGTCAGTAATTGATTGAAAGTTAGCGGCGGCTAGATCAAAACATGGCAGAAATGCATGAAGTCACTGACAAGTGGACTACTGAGTCATGTTGGTAGGATGTAGGTTATCTGGTTGAGGTCCGCGAGACGACAGTCACCAATGGTTAGAGATGTTGAACGATATGGCTCAAAATCGTTTGCAATGGCGCAGTTGCATCCACTCTCTTTGTGCTTTTTAATTCTAACCTGGATTCCTTATAATCTCTATCTTTCTCCTTCTTCTAAATTTATCTCACTAAATTATACTTTTCGAATCATATCTTCGCTTTCTAATCTTCTCCATTGCTGTTAATAATTCTACTATCGCTCTCGGTCTTGGATTTGAACTGACAGTTGCGTCTCTGTGGTGTTGTGGTATGGCAACCTGAACTGATGTACTTATGTACGAAGTTTTGTGTTGTATCTGTCTGCCTATCTGTCTGGTTGATTGATGAATATTAATATCAACGGGATGACTATTTAAAATTAGAAAAGGTCGATTGTTTGCTCTTGAATTTCAAATCTCCTGAACATTGCAGAATCACGATGAAATTGAGAGATTCAAAAACCTGGACAGGACTATTCTCTGCGATTGTCTACTGAATAAGCGTGTTTGAATCATTCTGTGTACAAAACCACCTTTCTTCATTGTTGCATTCAGGCAGTGTGGTTCGGGCAGGCTTGCCCTATCCCATTTTTAGGCCGCCGAATTCCTTGGCACGGTCGAAGGTGAAGAGAGTCTGCCCAATCTCTCAAATTACTTTCACATGGCCGCATGTGTATTAGCTGCTGACAAGGAAGGCCTCCTACTGGCAGGGGTTTTGTTTAAGAGATCAAGAGCACGAAAAGCGAATGCGCGGTCAATGCTTAAGCTAAGTTAGTGGGTAAGCACGATCCACTTAGCGGAGAGCCCACATCTCAAACCAATGGTGCAGATGAGCTACAAGACCCCAATTCTACGAATGGTGTATGAACCTATTTTTGCTGACTGCAACTAATGACGTTGCTCCACTGCACCTCGTTGAATAATAGGCCTTTTGATCAAAGACTTGGAGAGTAGACTTCTGAGAAGGCCACCTGCTCTATAGTTGGGGCACCCGTGAAATATCATAGCCCACATACAAGCTGAACGTTGTCAATAACTGGAAAAATTTATGCTTGCATCAAACCGTACTTACAGTATTCGGTAACATTCGTGTTTCTTTTAGATCGTACCACTAGTTTATTCTAGTTTAGCGTATTACTTACTCGTCAATTCGTACGGCAGATCGCCTATAGTGAAAATATTGTCCTGTCCGAGCGATTTCAAATCACTGATCGGTTGAAATTTGAATGCTACCAGTAAATACAAATATCAGGGTAACCCTTTCTGAAACCACGTTTGCCATTCAACATCGGCACACTAATTCAGGTCGGACAATAGACAGGGTTGACTGTGTTTAGAAAATCTGAGCGTCGATGTCGATCCGCCATCCGTACCCAGGAATCTAGTTCCATACTGCGCACTAGCTATCCATCTGCCGCTCCAAAAAGCTTGTTTCACGTGCGTTTATCCGGATACCCCATAGAATTTTTGTCTAATGTTAGCGGCAGTAAGCGCTAAAGCTGAAGCAGCGCTGAATGACCGGATCCCTATTAACATTCCATGATGTGCTGTTAGAAAGCCTCATCAAAGTGACATGAAATCGTTGGGGAAAACGATACCTTTCCCTTATGTCCGCTTACATCCCGAGAGACTGCACAGTCAAGATGCAATCAAAGATGAATTCTACTACCAGTTAAATGATGCGCAAAAAGTGCATTCCATATATACGACTCGATTTAGAAATGATTATTCTTTTTTTAAGTAGCTTGTAAGATAAAAACTCATGTCAACAAATGTTTGCAAAATCTCAAAGAAAATTCATTTAATTCCATTTTTTTTTAAAAAAATAATTGATTTTTCCCTCATGATATTTAGGCATTACAAGAAAATGAAGATGAAACAATTACAGAAAGTGAAAAAATTGTTACAAATGTTTTAGGTGAAGAAAAAACACAAATTTATTATCAACGTATTTTACAATTGGTTCTAGCTGATGGTGCTTATTTAGATGGTAAGTTTATTACTGTGTTGTTTTTTTTCAGTATCGGATTGTGAAAGATTGTTGAGTTTGATTGGAATCATAAATTGATCATTGTTAGACCACTATTACAAACCTGGAAACACTGGATGACAGTTAAGTCTTAATATGGCAGTACTCATCCATGATTCACGAACGCAGTAATCGATCGATCAGTCCACAGGATGGCACAACTTTACCCATTGTGTTCGGTGGGTAACTGCCTCATACTTGACAGCTTCAAGCTTCACTTGTCACGCTTTTTATTAGCAGTGAGACAATAAAACCGTTGGATGCCGGCTCAATAGTCTAGAGGCTAAGCATCCGTATGCGAGATAAAGGATCCTGAGTTCGACCACTACGTCTGGAAGTCATGGATATCCACTGTTGATGAGTTCAATCCTAGGACGAAACGGCTATCCAGTGCCTCTAGGTGTCTAATGCTTGGTCTAACAATGATCGATTCATGACTTTCATAATGTTTCCTTCAAACATGTTATTGAAGTGTAGCTGACGAGAAAGTAAAATGTGATTGGTTACTAAGTAGGGACAAACATGCATTTCAGTCTACTGATAATTGAAATATGTGATTTCTTTAACTCTTATTGGTTTATAATTTGGACTCATTGAGTGTAAACTGCTTGTTTATCGCTTACTCTGATTCTCGAATCTTGTTGTATCTGATTTGATGTGATGTTGTCTATGTGTAGTATGCTGTTTGAGTGTCTAATCCAAAGGTAGTATAACCACGATCGACAATCTCTCAGTATCACACTGTCGTCGTAGAATACTGAGGAAAGGTAAAATATCTCCGAAACCACCGTTATATAATCGTTAATTAATTGTAAGATTTAATTGACCTACCGATTAATTTCCTGAACAAGTCCACCTACCAATCACACATGGAGCTCTAGTTCAATTATGATTGAAACAGATCACGAAAAAATATTGTTTCTGAAAAACGGTAGATTCACAGAATAAATAAATACAAACGAGCGCAAAGTTCCCCAAGCCTCAGATAAACGAGGGCTGGGTATCGGAGTGGGGAGTTAGCAAACCTATCTCATAGAAAGCCAACTCGCTAACTAACTGAGAAAAAAATAATAAAGATTTTGAAATAATGGAGAAGTTTGTAATTCATCAGGTAGATAATGTCAATGGAGTTTCGTTCACTAGGGATAGACTGATAGATACAACGCAGAACTTCGTACGTAAGTATGTACATCAGTTCAGGTTGCCATACCACATCAGCATAAAGACGCAACTGTCAGTTCAAATCCAAGAGTGATAGCAATGGTAGAAGTATTACCAGTAATGGAGAAGATTAGGGAGTGAAGATATGATTCGAGAAGTATAATTTAGTGAGATAAATTTGGAAGGACAAATGTAGAGATGATGAGGAATTCAGAAGATGGGAATTAGAGAGAACACAGAGAGTGGATGCACTTGCACCATTGCAAACGATTTTGAGCTATGTCGTTCAAGGTCTCTAAACATTGGTGGCTTACGTCTCGCGGATCCCAACCAAACAGCTTACATCTACCAAGATGACTCATTCCACTTGTCAGTGACTTCATGGATTTCTGCCATGTTTTAGTCTGGCCGTCCCTAGCTTTCAACCTACTCCGACATCACAAAAAATAGCTCGTCGAGGTAGTCCATGGTTGGGCATATGTAACACATGACTCCGACAACCACCTCAACTGATGAAGTCTCACCACTTCATCTATTGATTTGCCATCCCTACCTAGAACTCGTTTCCTAACGATAGCATTGGATTCAAATATTTTTCCAATCGCTGTACACCAAGTCATAGGATAGGTAGATCAATTAACAACAAGTGAATGATTATTGACGGTGTGAACGATAACTTCCGACTCAATTAGTGAATGGATGGATGGATAGATCGACAAACAGACAGGTATGAAATGCATATAAGACAAACGAATCACCTAATGACCTTGATGCGTCATTTATTGATTAGTTGTCCAGATGGTCAGACTATGGTCATCTGACTACTATTTTGGTATAATAATAAGTTCAATATAAAATAGTAAATTTCTTAACCACCTGATGATGACCTTGATGCGTCATTTATCGATTAGTTGTCCAGATGGCCGGACTATGGTTAACCACCCGATGACCTTGACGCGTCATTTATTGATCAGTTGTCCAGATGGCCACATTACTATGGTTATGTGACTATTATTTTGATATTATGATAATAATAAGCTGAATGTGTAAAATAGTAAATTTTTGAATTTTCTTTTTTCTGTTTACACCGCCAATTTTGATATATTTCAGATGAATAATTAATTTGGTTAAAAAGAGAAAAATAAAACTAGGACAACAATTCATTTCATATATACATACATTTAAACCGGACGAAAAGAAAAACAGAACCAGGCTAATTTAGGAAAAAATTTTTTTTTGGCTTTTCATTCTTTATCATTTTATTTCAATGTGAAGCAGGAAAAAAAAATTTTTTTTTGTATGATTTTTGTCATTTCATCTTTTTGTTTGTTAGAAAAACCATTCATTACTTCTTATATTATTATCATGATGAATTTTATTATATATATAAATATATGATAGTGAGTTAGAGTAAAAACATTTCAACAATTCATTCATATTCTAATCTAATCATTCATAAATTTTCGTGCAATTTATTGTTATTATTATTTCAACTTATTCACAAGAAAATTAAAAAAAACCCAAAACAGAACAGAACAACAACAGCAACACAATGTTTAATTTTTTTTTAAAATCTTAAAGAAACATTATTTTTCATGCTGCATAAGCTATCCTCCATTCACATTCATTCATCTGTTTATGCTACTATGATTTAAAAAGAAAAAAAGTGCTTATTTTTCTTTGTGTCAAATGAGAATTTGGGTGTTTTATTTCCATTTTTCTGTTTGTTGGTTTGATTGTTTATAAATGAATGGGGATTTGTGAAGATTGTAGAATTTTTTTTACGAATATTGATCTTATCAGTTAGATCATTTATTTAGAAATGTGAAAGAAGCACTGGATAGTAATATGTTGCTGGTATGAGACTCATTAGCTGTGTGAATCCATGACTCCTGCTCACTAATGACTAGATTCATGAGGAAATTCGTAGAGTTTCAGTGAGAAGACGTGACTAGTGGAGTTCAACCATGTCGAGTGTAGACAGTTACTGTCGAAGACAAATGGGTTAGGTTACGCAAAATCCCTAGATTGATGAGAGTTTAAACACTAACACCGTTGGATGTCGGCTCAATGGTTTGAAGGTTAGGCGTCCACAGGCACGATCGAAGGTCCGCGGTTCGACTCCTGCCATTAGCATGAGTCAGGCACTGCTGATGAGTTCCGTACTAGGATGAAACGGACATCCAGTGCTTGCAGGTTTCTAACGGTAGTTTAACAATGATTGATTGATGAGGTTAATGTTAAACAACAATCTATATAACTCCATAAAAGGGAAAAAAATCCCTATAGTAGCTGCTATCTTGACATGGTAGTGATCGGGCTTGCCTATCGAGCTATAATGGCTGGAGCATATGTTCCTGTAGGTTCTACCATGCCAACCAGAGAGGTCAATTGGAGAACGATGAGACTAAAAGCAGCTAATCAAGGCCTGAGAGCGAAGTTGCACTGCTGACTGTAGACGGGTGTGACAGCTGTACAAACAAAACCTGCAGCGATGCTGCCTTCTCACAATGAGAGGTTAGAAGAGATCGACCATAAAATGTCACACCTCACCTGTTAGGATGTCAAATATCATAAGCAATTATTTTGTAAGTCTAATTCTATTGGTCGATTCCTATTGGTTAATATTTAATGTCGCTCTAAACTATGGAAGTTCACATACCTTTAAATGTTGTTTCCTATTGGTTAGTATTCACGGTCGATCTAACTGTATAAATATGCATTGTCCTTAGGTTTTATGATCCTTCTTCTTCAATGCAAAACCTCATATTTTCTGGATGCTTGTAGAATACACTTTCTACGCCATATCAAGGCTTCTTCTACTTATTTTAGGGCTTGGGACGCTCGGATTATAGTAGCCTGTCGTGTCGCCGGATCATCGATCCTCGCTCGCGTTCACCAAGGTGAACTCGTAATAGTTAAAGCATATTAGTTGACAAATATAACATCACCTTACCTCACGGATTTCCATCTACGGCGGTAAGGCCTTTAAAACAAGAGCGGAGCTACAACAATCTACATATCTCCATAAAAGAAAAAAATCCCGACAGTAGCTACTAACTTGGCGTGGCGGTCAGGCTTGCCTATAGTGATCACCCAACCGAGCTATATTGGCTGGAACATATGTTCCTGTGGGTTCTACCATGCCAGCCAGAGAGGTCGATTGGAGAACGATGAGACTAAAAGCAGCTACTCAAGGTCTGGGGGCGAAGTCGTACTGCTGACAGCAGTAAGGCGTTTCCCTCGGACAACCAACATCTACAGCGACGCTTCTTTCTCACAACGAAAGGAAGGCTTAGAAAAGGTCGACCCTAAAAATGTCACACCTCACCCTACCTCACGGATTTCCGTCTCCGGCGGTAAGGCCTTTAAAACAAGAGCGGATCTAACACTTTAAATACTTCTCATAAAAGCGCCGTGCGCGACCGGCCTCAAGCAGTTGTCCCTTAGGCTGTGTGGTCACGTTCCCAGAACTCTAAGACCAACACTAATCTACCATCCTTCTCAGGTTCTTCAGTAAAACAAAAACACCCTTCCACGGTGTGGCCATCAGCCGGCAGGCAAGTGACATATCTAACCTCATACCCGACTGATAAAGAAAAAACTAGTAATAAAAAAATAATTCTCAGTCAGAAAAGAAACCATTTTATTTCCCAATGAAACACAATCTATATAAATATATATATATACTACACCCGAAAAAATAACAGATAGGAGAGGTGTGTATTGAATAACACAACTGGTCGTTAAATAAAATACAATTAATTATCCGAGAATGCATTTTACACAGAGATTTTCTTTTTTGTGGAAAACAAAAGAATAGAAAAATTATTTAATAATAATATAAAAATAATAATAATAAATGTTTTGTAAAAAAAATAAAAATACTCTGCGGGAACAAAACAAAATACCCCAATCTCAATGAGAAAATGCGTAATAGTCATGAATAATACAACAACTACTACTACTTAATAATACTACTAATAATAAACGACGAGAATATAACAAGAAAGGTGTGGCAACTCGTTAGCTGCATATACACATAGATAGATAGATAGATGTGACGGTGTTGTAGTTATTGCTATTGTTGTTGTCTGTTACATAATGAATTGATTACCAATTCGGATTACCAAAACGTTCAATTGTTTTATAAGCTTCATCGACATCTTTACGTGATTTCATTCGCATATAAAATATTGGACAATCTCGACTGAAATACATATATAAATAGAAGAAATAATGTTACCATTAATAATATATATGATGATCAGGAAAGTTTATTTAAAAACTGTATGTGCACACATACACACAATGGATACATTTTCTTTTGAGGGGGGGATATACGCCTCTTATGCGGATCGCCTTGATTATGGATGATTGCCACATGATTTTAACCCAGTTCCCAGGAGTGGACATGAAATTCTAGGATTACTTACTTTACTTACGCCTGTTAACAACCCCAAATGGAGCATAGGCCGTCCACCAGTTTTCTCCAACCAACTCTGTCCTCGGCTTCCCGCTCCAGTTCTGTCCAATGTTTGTTCATTCCCCTCTCATGTCCTTCTCTATTTCTCGGCGTAATGTGTTCCTTGACCTTCCTCTTTTCCTTTCACATTGAGGGTTCCATGTAAGGGCTTGTCTTGTGACGCAGTTAGGTGCTTTTCACAGTGTGTGTCCTATCCACTTCCACCACTTCTTCCTCATTTCCTCCTCCACTGGAATCTGGTTTGTTCTCTCCCACAGTACGTTGTTACTGATGGTGTCTGGCCAACGAGTCCGAAGTATTTTGCGTGGACATCTGTTAATAAACACTTGTATCTTCTGGATGATGGCTTTGGTAGTTCTCGAAGTTTCCGCTCCATACAGTAGAACTGTCTTGACATGCAGGTACAATATTCATTCAGCTGACAATGAGTTTCGAATAGAACTTGAAACACAACTTCTATATTTCATTGTTATCTACCACGTCTGTGATGAATAAGGCTTGTTGTGGTGTGCGTACTACTATTAATATGTCCAGCCCATATGGCTTGTCCCAGCACCTATGGAAAATTAACTAATCCACTCTGTCCGGCTTCCACGGTGTGGGCAGCCGGGAAGTGACAACCGCCCTCATACCCGTAACAGCACAATGAATGACTGACTGTCCGGAACGTTATTCACTTGCTTTTTTGACCGTGTCAATTATTCGCTTAAATAATCTTGGTTGTTCTGATTATAAATTTATCCTTATGGAACAAGTATATAGAGTTTGGCGTGTTTTTAGCATACCGCGGTTTCGTGTCAAGGAATTCATTAGTTTATTGTAGTTGGTTGTGTTATACTGAGATTTTGTTTTTATGAGGTAGAATTGTTAATGTTACGCTGAACCTTCCCCCTCTATCCAGGATCAGGACTGGTAATGAGTTAGTGGTCAAGGCATTTGATCCATGTTCTACCTATTTCGGTTTGAACAAACCGGTATTATCATTAGTGCTTATACTGTGATTCATATCCTAGTACTTCACTTAATCTAAAAATTTAAGTAATTTTGGGAGGACATCACACAGGGCATACCAAAGTAGTAAACTAACTTAAAAATGTAAAACTTCTCATACCTTCCATCTTTCGTCATCTGTTCGGAGGGTATATGTGTAAGAGATTTGCAAGGAACTGGAAAGGGATTAGAAATAATTAGTGATTGGGACATATGTTAAGTATGGCCAACCATCGACTGCCTCGGAGAGCAATGTTTTGTGGTGTAAGAGTAGGTTGGAAGAAAGCTAGGTGCGGCCAAAACAAAATATGGCACAAGTCCATGAAGTCAATGACAACAGAACTGAGTCATGTTGATAAATGTAGACTACCTGGTTGGGGTCCACGAGACGACAGTAATAGATATTAAGAGACCTTGAATGACATGGATCAAAATCGTTTGCAATGGCGCAGGTACATCCACTGTTTGTGTTCGCTGAAATTCTAACCTTCAGAATTTCTTATGACCTCTATCTCTTCCTAAATATATTTCACTGAATTATACTTTTCGAATAATATTTTCGAACCCTAATCTTCTCCATTACAGCTAATAATTCTACTATCTCTACCACTATGGGATTTGAACTGACAATTGCGTCCCTGTGCTAATGTGGTATGGCAACCTGAACTGATGTACATACGTACGAAGCTCTACATTGTAACTGACTGACTGACTGTATGTGCATACTTACTCCGTTTATTACATGCCTAGCCTATCATTGTCTGACCAGAAATACTTAGTCATACCTTATTCACATAGAGTTGGCTCACTCGCCTTCTTCACTTTGTTTGTCCACTCTTTATCATCATGTCTGACGCTGCGTGAACAGTTGCATGAAATAAACTCATCTAACTGAATCTGTATTTAGCTTCCGAATACCACCGTCGTACAACACAGGATATGCCTAAGAATGATATATTATACGAAAATTGAAAGAAGGATTTATTTCACAGCACACCTAACCGTTCGCCCAAACTGTAGTCAGACTGCGAGCCACTCTCTAAAGTAGTGATGACCTCAACGTTGAATTCAACGTAGCTAATAAAAACTGAATAAAAGTTTAGTTGTTTCGTTTAATTTCAACAGTAGTAATATTGTGGTGCGCGCTACTTATAAGTAGTATATGACGCGAGTGTCAACGTAATGTCTGGCAAGCAGAAGATGAGGGAAGATCAAGAAAGGAAGAAGAGTGGGAACACAATGGAATTTGTATGAAACGCATGAATAGTGAAATGTCACACAATGGATTGATGATGAATTGAAGATTTGAAAATTAACCGTTTACGATATGGTTTTCCTAATTTACTGAGTAACTCTGTAATTTTCGCTAAATACAATTCGGTTGCCCTCACCTGTGTTCTCCTTCACTACAGGTAGACTAGTACATCAATCAAGTTGATAGATTGAATCTCGTACTCATTAGTGATTAGCTTGAAGATGAATTCCTAGAGTTCTAATGAGAAGCCAATAATCAATGGAGTTCAATCTGTATCGGATAGGAGAGAGTTATCCACTGCAGGCAGTGTCTGAAGGACTTCCCTGTTCGTGGTAGTATACTCATGGACACTTGAAATCATTTCGAGAGAGTGTAGTGCCTCCACATATATTCCAGTTCTCGTACATCTAACTTGGTTAAGCCCTTTCGATTAATTTATGTAACCAAGCCATTTGTATAGCAACAACTCATATGTGTACCATTGGTATTTTTTATTATCTAGTTTGTGTGAGCTTGTACGACTGAGCATTGTTTACGCCTACGCGCTTACTCATCCTTTTCGCTTTAATGTTAATCTCTTAATATCCCCATGAACTCACATGATTTGTGTCGCTTGCTTTTGACCTTGTCAATCATTCGTCGCTTTTATTCATATGTGTGCATACCTATTTCGCTTGTCATATGTCCGTCTTATTTATGCCTGACTATATATTCTTAGTCATACTCTATCTCTTTGAGTTGGCTCTTTGCCTTCTCCAACGCGCTTCGCCTATCCATTCGCTTCCTTCGTTTTATTCACTGCTTCTCCGCTTCGCTTTGTGGTGTGTTCCGGATAAACGTATTCATCAATACGAGTTCATCTTCGGATTTATAAACCGAGCTTAAGAACACGCATTAATTTGACACACTACAAGAGTAATCGGTCTCTCCCCACTCTCAACCATAACAGAGCATTTTGGGGCCAACCAACATCCATCTCTGCTTAAAACGCCTCTGACGTAACGGCAATATCAAGGCAATTTGTACAGAACTTACAAATATCAAAAGTGACGGACTAATGACTGTCGTAAACATCAATGGCAAAATCCAAACAGTTAGTCAGATTAAATTCATTGATCATTTCAATAGAAAAAAAGGCTTGACCTTGAACAAATTGAGCACATATTTGAATAACACGATTTCACTAATATTTATGATCATTGGCTCGAAATTTATCCTTAACAGTTAGTTCATAAACAAACTGTAATCAGCTCAACACGAAAGTCACCGAATGATTAGAGACTTTGAATAACATTGCTCAAAACCGTTTGCAATCGCTCAGGTGTATTCATTCTTTGTGTTCTCTCAAATTCTAATCTACTGAATTCCTCATCATCTCTATCTTTCTTTTTTTAAATTTATCTCACTGAATTAAACTTCTCGAATAATATCTACGAACCCTAATCTTTCCCATTACTGCTAATACTTCTACTATCTCTACCACTATTGGATTTGAACTGACAGTTAGGTCTCTGTGCTGATGCAGTATAGCAATATGAACTTACGTATTCATGTACGAAGTCCTACGTTGTAACTGACTAACTGACAACACCGTTCTACAACAGAATTGAATAAATGACTTCTTTACATTTCAGTATACAGAACTACTTCAAATTAACAAGTAGTATAAATTATATTACTAAGTTTAGAGGCCCGGGATTTGACTCCGAATTTTACGAACAACTGATTATGCTTTCAAATACATACCTCATTTGATTTCCGTGTATAATACTTAAGTGAACACCGTTTGTGAGATGGCGGTGATTAGCATCCCAATAACATCTTATGTGGATGAGTTCATTTCATACATTCATTTACGCAAACAGGCAACAGAATGCAAAGTGAAGCAAAGTAAGGCGGAGAAGGTTAGTGAGCCTACTACTCAGTGTGATGAGGTATGAATAAGTATTTTTTTAATCATAGAAAAGTAAGCTAAAGATATGTGATAATCGATGCAGCGGAGGAGGAAATCAAGAAAAAGCACTGGAAGTGGATAGGACGCATATTGCGCAAAGCACCTAATTGCGTCGTATGATAAGCCCTCATTTGGAACCATCAAGGACAAAGGAAAAGAGAAAGGCCAAGGGATACGTTACGTTGAGAAATGGAGGCAGGTATGATAAGAATGAACAACAATTGGACAGAACTGGAACTGGAGACCGAGGACAGGGTCAATTTTGTAGAATACTGGTCGGCGGCCTATGCTCAATTAGGGGTAACAGGCCTATGCAAGCAAGTATGTGATAATCGAAGTGAGAATCCACACACACTCACCTAAGTAAAAACAACCAAGATTATAAGTGAATAAATGACAAGGTCAAAAGTAATGTGAGTAATGGTTGATTAGATTGTACAAAGGCTGGTAACAAGGGATTGATTTCTGTTAATATTTCAGCGGTTAACAACTAACTAACTAATAAATATACTTAACGTTTGTAACAATTTTTCATGAAAACTGATTGTATCAACTACCTGCTGTTCAAACAGAAGTCCATGGAGATTTTGTTGTTGTTGGAACCTTGTGTGCGCCCAGCGGTTGTGTAAATTGAATACTATAACAAGCTAAGATCACATAATGTTAGACTATTTCAGTAATAAATCCTGTAAGTTTGTTTATGTTTTACCAAAATGTTATTTATTTCGTTGATATATGTGTGTAATTAGTGAAAGTATAAATGTGATTGGTCATTGCACGTGGAGAAACAGTGTTGGGGATGTCGGATCGCCAAAATTCGCTTGATCAATGCCTTATTTTGGTTTTCACGTTTGCAAGCATGGGCTGATCAGTTGACCTTCGGAATTTCCATTCCCACCACGAAAATCCTTCGCTGTGATTGGCTGCTGTGTATTTTAGTGTGCTATTTTCTTAACTGTCCCAAGGACATTGATTCTATGTTGTATAAATAAACGAGAGTTGTATGCTTGATTGTATTATGATTGCTGGGTGTTTGTAGAATATACTTTCTACGCCTATCAAGACTTCGGTTTTACAACTTGGGATTCAAGGTAGCCTATCTGGACGCTGGTACACTGTCTCGTTCGCGTTTATCGACTAAGGTAAACTCGTAATAGCCTCAAGCATACTAAGTGACGAACTCTACAAACAGGGACCTGGCCAACTGACTATTAAATATGTGGTTTTCTTTTTTATTTATGTACTCCAAACGTACCATTGAGTTTGATTGTTTGTAATTATGTGGAGTAAAGTATTGTCTATGATTCTCTGCCTTGATCATGAATCCAGTAACTGATAGAAATGTGATCCAGTCTGTGTGTTGTGTGTACCGTTCGATTATCCAATTCAATGGTTGTAGAAACTCGATCACTTGGACTAGTCTCATTAACGTAGAGAAAATAACCACTGTTATGTAAATGGTACTTTTGATAATATATATAACTAATAATGTGATGTGAGCTACTTATAAGTAGTATATGACGTGAGTGTCAACGTAATGTCTGGCAGCAGAAGATGGGGGAAGATCAAGAAAGGAAGAAGAGTGGGAACACAATGGAATTTGTATGAAACGCATGAATAGTGAAATGTTACACAATGGATTGATGATGGATTGAAGATTTGAAAATTAACCGTTTACGATATGGTTTTCCTAATTTACTGAGTAACTCTGTAATTTTCGCTAAATACAATTCGGTTGCCCTCACCTGTGTTCTTCTTCACTACAATTTCACTGATCATATTACAATAGAGAGTAAATTTAATTCCCATTTGATGATAAAAAGAAGAAAATGTATCTCACATATTAATAAACTGAGTAAAATTTTCTCCGCAATGAAATTTTGAATGAATTAGAATACATAAAAGTTTTGAAAAATGATATTTTAAAATACTGATAACAGAACTCAATTGAAATTACAAAAACTGATCAATCACCACAACTCTATATTTCTGACAATTATCATGTTGCTCTCACTAGTGACTGGTTTTGTGAGAGAGAATTCTCGTAGCTCTCTCTCTATAAGGAAGCTGTGATTAGTGGTGTTCAAATCGTGTTAGATATAAGGCATCGACAACACTATGGATGATGGTCATGGAATATTCATGGATTGTGTTACGATATTCATCCAATATCCTAAGAGAATTATTGATCAATTCCTATTGGTTGATTCCTACTGGTCAACTTTATGGTCGTCCTACATATCAATGTCACATTCTCCAATGTTGTTACTTATGGGTTGTCCTGACTATCAATGCCACTTCAAATGTTACTTCCTATTGGTCGTCTTACCTTTCAATGTCACAGAATTCGATGCTGTTTTTTCATTCGAACAAAATGTATAAATACGCATTATCTGTAACGTTTTATAACTCCGCCAGTAGAACCTTCGGGGCTACTGCCGGTCCCAAGCCCGGGTAAAGGAGGAGGGTTGGACATGGGGTTGGCGACCCCATTCCGTCAAAAACTAACTTGCCAAAAAAACGCTAACCAGAAAAAATAATTCAAACCATTTTAACTCTGCCCTGGGAGTTGGAGGAAGAATTATGACGTCGCGTGATGAAAGCCGAGTTCCCTCGGAAGTCACGCGGCTGATGCCTCTTCTGACAACCAGAGCAACCATTTTTTTAGGTACATGGAACGTTCGTACATTGTGGGAGACTGGAAGACTATTTCAAGTTGCGGCAGAAATGGCAGTCACATGGTTGTCGGTCAACAACAATAGGGGTATACACCATCCGTAGATTCGGAATCTTAGAGCTCATGTGCACCATTGGTTTGAAATGAGGGTCTTCCAACTGAACTAGGTGGATCTTGAGTACCTACCAACCAAGTTTAAGTGTTGACCGCGCACTCGCTTTTCGTGCTCTCAATCTCGCAAACAAAACACCTGACGGGAGAGAGCCCTTCTCGGCAGCAGCTATAAACATGTGGTGCTGTGAAAGTAGTTTGAGAGGGTGAGTAGAGTCTCTCTACCTTCGACCGTATCAGGGAATTTAGAGGCCTAAATATGGATCAATGAGATCGGGCAAGTCTGCTCTAAGCCAACTGCTTGAATGCAACAATAACAGCATTTTAAGAGCTACAGCACGCCCTCTTCGCTCTTGACCGTATCAACCAACGAATTTAGGTGTTTTCGTGATATCTATCTAACATGACCAGACTTGAATATTCAATGTTTCATACTAAAACTTCATCATATTATAATACACTGTTTATATTAATTAGTGAAGGTGAATTTTCGAGCTTCCGCAGTTTTCGGATTCACATCAGAAAGTAACTTTGATAACTTAAAATTAACAATCTGTTAGGATATTTATCAAATATCCCAAAAGAAATTATTTTGTAAGTCTAATTCTATAGGTTAATATTTAAGGTCGTCCTAAACTAACAAGTTCACACGCTTTTTAAATATTCTTTCCTATTGGTTAGTATTCAAGGTCGAACTAACTGTATAAATATGCATTGTCTGTAAAGTTTTATGCTCCTCCTCTTCTTCTTCTTCTTCGGTACAAAACCTCATATTTTATGGATACCGTTAGTGTAGGGGCTTGGGACGTTCGAATTGGAATAGCCTATATCGTGTCAATGGATCATTTGTCTACGCTCTCATTTACCGACACTAAGGTGTGAACACTCGTAGTAGTAGCATTCAAACATATCAATTACTGACGAGCATAACACAAGCATAACAGACTCTTTCGAGGTGAAGACCGGTGTCAGGCAAGGTTGCTTACTCTCACCCTTTCTCTTTCTCCTGGTCATCGACTGGATTATGAAGATGTCGACATGCGGAGGGAAGCATAGTAATCAAATGGACAGCCAGGATGCAAATGGATGATCTGGACTTCGCAGATGACCTGGCTCTTCTATCTCACACGCAACAACAAATGCAAGAGAAGACGACCAGTGTAGCAGCAGCCTCTGCAGCAGTAGGTTTCAACATACATAAAGGAAAAAGCGAAATTCTCCGATGCAACACAACATACACCAACCAAATCACTCTTGATGGAGATGCCTTGGATGACATTAACACTTTTACATATCTGGGCAGCATCATCGACAACCAAGGTGGATCCGATGCAGATGTGAGGGCGCGGATTGGCAAAGCGAGGGCTGCATTTCTACAGTTGAAAAATATATGGAACTCCAAACAACTTTCAACCAAAATCAAAATCAGGATTTTCAATACAAATGTCAAGACAGTTCTACTGTATGGAGCGGAAACTTGGAGAACTATCAAAGCCATCATCCAGAAGATACAAGTATTCGTCAACAGTTGTCTACGCAAAATACTTCGGATTCGTTGGCCAGACAACAACAACAACCTACCGTGGGATACAACAAGCCAGATTCTTCCAGCGGAGTTGGAAATCAGGAAGAAGCGGTGGAAGTGGATAGGACATAGACTACGAAAAGCACCTAACTGCGTCACAAGACAAGCCCTCACATGGAACCCTCAAGGCAAAAGGAAAAGAGGAAGGTCAAGGAACACATTACGCCGAGAAATAGAGAAGGACATGAGAGAGGAATGAACAAACATTGGACAGAACTGGAGCGGGAAGCCGAGGACAGAGTTGGTTGGAGAAAACTGGTGGGCAGCCTATGCTTCATTGGGGGTAACAGGCGTAAGTAAATAAGTAAGTAATAACACAAGCATACAGTTAAATTACATGTATAAATAATAATAATAATCATAATCATTATAAAACTCATAAATTTACCTAGTACATATAACTTCTTCATGTATACTATGTTGACAACGTTGACATTCAGTCCATAATGATGTGAATTTTTGTTCTAATAAATTTAAATGTACCATTTCTTTTTGATAAATTTCTGATTTACGTGATTCACAATATTTACATACAGCTGAGTCTAAATTTGAGAAGAGAAAAAGAGACAACAGTGTTTGAGTTCCAAATTTAAACCATCAACACATGATGACGCCCAAAATAGACGACTACACTTGAACAAGAGTTATAAGAGGAGTGTATGAGAAAGTCTACGTGAGTCAGTCAGTCAGTCAGTCAGCGGCAACGTAGGACTTTGTATGTACGTATATCACAGTCCAGGCTACTATATACCGCTGTTAGGATATTCATCTAATATCCTAAGAGAATTAGTGGTCAAATCTTATCGGTCGATTTCTATTGGTTGAAATTCTGATCGTTTTAACTGTCAAAGTCAAATACTTCAATGTTGTCTCTTATTGGTCCTCCGAACTGTCAATGTCACTTCAAATGTTGCTTCTTATTGGTCGTCTTAACTGTCAATGCCACAGAATTCGATGATGTTTCCTATTCGACCAAAATGTATAAATACGCATGATCTGTAACGTTTTATGACCACGACCAGGACCCGGTCCATAATCCCTAGTCCGAGATCCTGATTCTCTTCTGGATTCGGACGTCGCACTTTCTGGATGCTTGTAGAATATAGGTTCTACTCCACATTCAAGTCTTCTTATTTTTCACTCAATATGGGGGTTCGGATGATCGGGTTTGAGTAGCATGTCGTGTCACCGGATCCTCGCGCTCGTTCTCCGACTAGGTAAACTCGTAATAGTTTAAGTATATCAAGTTGACGTGTTTACGTACAGGCGTAACAACCGCATTAACACAGAAAGATGGAGTTGTCAATTCAAATATCTGGCGATGAAAGTGTCATCTCCAAAATCAGGTTAATGGCAAAGTTAAACAAGAATGAAGGGAGTGTACAGCCCTGACGAACACCACTTGAGGTAATCAATTCTGATGACAGTTAGCCATAAGCTGACTCGAACATTAGTGTTTGAGATAGAAAGTTTGTACTACGTCCATGTACTTCTTTGGTACTCGTTTAAATGCAGGACACTGCGACAGAACCTCACGATCAAAAAAGTGAAACGCCACCTCAGAGTCAAAGATTACAACATCGCCGGATATCGAAATGTATTTTTATGCTTTAGGACCTGATGAAGTATGAATATCTGGTCTATACACCCATTTCTAGGTCTGAAACCATCCTGATTTTCTCCAGTCTGCTCTTCACAAGCTGTGGTCAAGTGTCTTAGCATTATCGACGCTAATATTTTAGACATTATATTGGTTAAACTGATTTCTCTGTGAGGAGGGGGACTTTCGTCATTTCTTATAAATTAAGATAATCAGCGATTACGTCCAGCTCCCGGATTCTTTCTAAGATGTCAGGCAATCTTACTGTTGAAACTGCACAACCATTCCTAAAAATCTATCAGGACCAGCTGTTCTACCTCGTTTTAGCCTTTTCAACTTCATTAAGGGTCGGAAGATTGATTGCAAATAGTAACTGAAGTGTAGCTGAAGGTCAGCTGAACTGTTCCCTAAAGTGTTCTTCCCATCGATCCGATTTCCTGTATTGTAAATGAATAATAGTCCTGTCTTTTCTGAGAACCCCGACCGAAGCTGCTACCTTGAAGTGGTGGTCAGGCTTGCCTATCGTAAGGATGACCCAACCGAGCTATATTGGCTGGAACATATGTTCCTGAAGGTTCTACCATGCCAGCCAGAGAGGTCGATTGGAGAACGATCAGACTAAAAGCAGCTGAGGGCGAAGTCGTACTGCTCACTGCAGAGGGGTGTGACAGCAGTAAGGTGTTTGTTTCCCTCGGACAACCAGCATCTGCAGTGATGCTGCCTTCTAACAAGGAAGGAAGGGTTAGAAATACTGACCCTAAAAATGTCACACCTCACCTTACCTCACGGATTTCCGTCTCCGTTGGTAAGGGTGCCCACTAAGGGCTTTCAAGAGCGGAGCTAATACTCAAAGAATCTTTCATAAAAAGGCCGTGCGTGACCGGCATCAAGCAGTTGTCCGTTGGGCTCTGCGGTCACGCTCCCAGGTCTCCAAGACCAACACTAATCTATCTTCCTTTTCAAATCCCTCAAGAAACAACCTTCCACGGTGTGTGGAGCCGGGAAGTGACAACCGCCCTCATACCCATAACAGCACGAGAGATCAAATTGGTCGAAATCAAATCTTTTCTACACCTCCTAATACTTCTCTTATCTCTACGACTAACTCTTCTCATATTCATTTATCACAGTGCACAGCTAATGCAGATGATACGAGTTCACGAAACGTCATTCCTGGTCTCCTTAAACCCCGTTATTTTCTGAGAACGTCCCGCTAACTAACATATTTTTAATACCAGTTACCTAGTAATGCGAGATGCGACATTTTTTAGGGTCAACTATTTCTAACCACTTTCTCGCATTTTGAGAAGGCAGTAACGCTGCGAATACTGATTTTCCAAAGGGAAACATCCTTCCTTCTATCACATTCCACTACAGTCGGCAGCATAACTTCGCCTTCAGGCCTTGAGTTGCTGCTTAGGACCTAGAGGAATATGTGTTAACCGCATTCAATTCATACATGTAACAGCAGCATCCAAGATCATTTTGTTCACAATGAAAACTCTTTCCACCTCCTTCTAACTAACTCTAACCATCAACTATCTATCTAAACCAATAAATTCAGTTAAAATATGTATTGCCTGTACATTGAATGCGAACGATTAGTACAACTGTCAAGCTCAATACCGGAAAAAAATAATGATGATCCACAGAAAAGCCTTCTCTTACCTGCTTTATCGGCGGGCAATATTGTTCGACAACCAATGCAAGATGCACGTACTTTTGTAAAAGCTGATAATTGTCCAACTGTAGAATGTACCACAGATTTTACACGTGTATGTTCACCATCTATACAAAGTGTAAAAAAAAAACAGCACAAATCGTTCAATTGGAGTTTTACAGCGTCATGCATAATCGAGTCATAATGAATAGGAGAGAAGTTGTGTGATCTTTCACTCTCCCTCTCTATCTATCTCTAATCCGATTATTGATTATTTCATCTAGCGAGATCAGTGACCTCATCAAGAATTAAGCACACCAACTAAGATCTTAGTACTTATTAATCTACGAGTTCCTTTTGACCTATGTAACCAATCATAAATCGAAGATTATATTAACTTTCTCATAGATATACAAACTTCTAATGTACATAGTACAAGTAATGCGGTTTGAACGAAGCAAATAGGAGCACTAGAAGGCTGTTTCGTCCTAATATATAACTCATCAGTGACAGTGCACATCCACCAACCCGCATGCAGAGACCAAATCCAGAACAATTGTCTCAGCGCAAGTTTGCTTAATTTGTTGACCTATGAGCCGATATGCAACAGTGTTAACGTCTAACTTGAGTCAATCCATGATATTACGTGATCATCATTCATTGTCTCCCGTGGATAACTACTACTGCCTCATACTTGACACAGTTGACTTGATACCCTGGGCTCAATTCTCGCATTTGTACTATAACTGAGAAGTTCCATACTCGAAATGAAGCAGCCGTCAAGTCAGTCAGTCAGTCAGTTGCAACGTAGAACTTCGTACGTATGTACATAAGTTCATGTTGCCATACCACCAAATTAGCACAGAGACGCAAATGTCAAATAAAATCTCATAGTGATAAAAATAGTAGAGGTATTAATGGTAAAGAAGAAGACTAGGGTTTGAAGATATTATTCAAGAAGTATAATTCAGTGAGATATGGTAAGAAAGACAAAGGTAGAGGTGCTGACGAATCCAGAAGATTAGGATTTGAGAGAGCCCAACGAATGGGGATGCACTTGCGCCATTGCAAACGATTTTGAGCCATGTCGTTCAAGGTCTCTAACCATTGATGACTTTCGTCTCGCAGACCCCAACCAGCTAGCCTACATCTACCAACATGACTCAGTCCACTAGTCAGTCAATGACTTCATGGATTTCTGCCATGTTTTGCTTTGGCCGCCCCCAACTTTCTTCCAACCTACTACTACACCACAAAACATAGCACGTCGAGGCAGTCGGTGGTTAGCCATACGTAACACATGACCCCGACAACCACCTCAACTGATAAAGTTTCACCCAATTCATCTATTCATCTGCCATCCTTACCTAGTACTCGTTTCCTAACGACAGCATTGCTTACTCAGCTGTCCCACAATATACAAAGCAATGCTTCTCAGATATCTCTCTCTCGTGTGCTGTTACGCGACAGACGTCAAGTACTACTGTAGTGAAGGAGAAAACAGGTGAGGGCAACCGAATTGCATTTAACGGAAATTACAGAGTTACTCAGTAAAATAGGAAAACTATATCGTAAATTGTTCATTTGCAAAATATCAGTTCATCATATCGAACTGGACTGTTCCTATTGCAAAACATCAATCCATTGTCACTATTCATGCGTTTCATACAAATTCCATTGTGTTCTTCTAACTCTTCCTTTCTTGATCTTGCCCCATTTTCTGCTACCAGACATTACGTTGACACTCACGTCATATACTACTTATAAGTAGCTCGCACCACACTACTATTACTAGACTTCTAATGATGATCTATCTGACACTAACAACCAAAAACAACAATAAAAGACACCAACATCAACACCAACACTAACCGGCACAAATCACTTACTTAACAATATTGATTTAGCTTTCAATTCACCTAGAATTGGTTCAAATATACGCAACAGTGGATTAGCTAATTGATTTTCTAAATAATATTTTGTATCAATCGGTATATTATGCTCTAATACATACAAAGGATCTTCAGCTTTTGCATAAGCTGCAGTGTTTTTTCCACCGACCGCTGTTATTACATATGGTACACGATCACCGAGATTTGGTGCTGAGCCTGGATCACGTTTACGCATTTTCATGGCTAATTCAACATGTGCTTGCTTCCCTGTGTACTCTTCATCGGTTTTAGTTAATTCTTTACTAATTACCAATTGTGATATATCAATACGATTGCATAATAAATCTGATATGATTGATTGAGCATAAGTAAGCGCTGAGTTTGGATCACTGAAATGAAAATATGAGAGAAAGAGAGAGGGAAATAAAACAAGGATAACAGACAAGAATATATCATAATGAAATATCTGTAGAGAAAAACTACTAGCCAATCTCCTCGCTGTAAGTGCTGTCTTGACATGGTTGGTGGTCAAGTTTGCCTACCGTGATGACCCTATATAGTTATATTGGCTGGAACATATGTTGTCCCTGTAGGTCCTACTATGTCATGCAGGTCAATGTGAGAACAATAAAACTTAAAGCAGCAACTCAAAGTCTGAAGGCGAAGTCATACACTGCTGACTGTAATCGAGTGTGACAGTAGTAAGGTTTTTCCTCGGATGACCAGCATTTACAGCGATGCTGCCTTCTCACAGCGAAAGGAGGAAGTTAGATAAAGTCGACCCAAAAAGAGTCACACACCTCGCCTTAACCCACAGATTTTTGTTTCTGGCGGTAAGGCCATTTGAAGAGCGGGACTAACACATTAAAATGTTCCCAGAAAAACACCATGAGTGACCGTCATCAAGCTGCTGTCCCTTGGGCTCTGCTGTCAGGCTCTGATCTGCTTAAAACTTGTTACGCTCGACTCTAGGTATGCTTCAACTATTACGAGTTCACCTTAGTCGAATAACGAGAAAACAATGAATCAGGGTCCAGACAGGCTACTGTGATCCCTTCACCGAAACGTATCAGCAAGAAGTCTTGATATAGTATAGAAATCGTATTCTACAAACACTCAGCCAGCACACAACGAATCCAAGCACTCGAATTGCGTTTATTTATACTCTACAGAGACGTCCTTGGGACAGTCACAAAAATAGCACATTAAAATGACACAGTAGCCAATCACAGCCAAGGATTTTCCTAGTGGGAAATGTGATCTCAAGGTCAACTGATCGGTCCATGAAATAAATCCAAAATAAAGATATTATTTATCAAGCGATTTCTGGGGATCGAACATCCCCCAACAAAACTATTACAAGTTCACCTCACTTGGCAAAACGGAACGAAGATCAGTGATTCAGTGACACGATAAACTATTACAGGCCCCACTAACTAGAGGAAGAAGTCTTGATAAGACGTAGAGAAATGTATTCCACAGGCACCCAGAAAGTACGAAGTTAACCAGCACACAACTCAAGCTGATTTGTACAATGATAAGACGCCCTTGGCGAGAGCCACAAAAAAGCGTACTAAAATAATCAATCAACCAAATGACAGTCAAGGATTTTGCAAGTGGGAATTGCAAGCTGAAGGTATAAAATGAGCGTCTTTGGAGCGAAAACATAAAATTGCAAAATTAGAACCTTTTTCAAGTGCTTTCCGGAGATCTAACGTCCACAACAAGCTCCCAAAGTCACTAAGACCAACCCTTATCCAACTTATATTTCTCATTCCTCAAGAAATACTCTTTCAATGTATAGGCAACCGGCACGGTTAGGAGTGACTATCCACAGTGAAGCAACTGAAGCAAGATAAAAGCTACTCTTTAACAGTTAACGGTCAATAAATGCTTGTAGTCTATCCAGACTCTGGTGCGCGCTACTTATAAGTAGTATATGACGCGAGTGTAAACGTAATGGCTGGCAGCAGAAGATGGGGGAATATCATGAAAGGAAAAAGAGTGGGAACACAATGGAATTTGTATGAAACGCATGAATAAGTGAAATGTCAGACAATGGATTGATGATGGATTGAAGATTTGCAAATTAACGGTTACGATATGGTCTACCTATTTTACTGAGTAACTCTGTAATTTGCGATAAACATACAATTCGGTTACCCTCACCTGTGTTCTCCTTCACTACAAGACTACCGAAAAAGGAAGTTAATATATATATATGTATATCAGTTATTGTACAAAAAGTGAAAAGCCTTAAACTTTCTTTCTTACCGATCAATTAATATCCGCTCTAGGCATGCATTGATTAAATTCGCAACCAATGGACTATTATCACGACGTACAGTTTCAATACCTTTACAATCCATTTTATCATGTCGATCTGGTTTAGTAAAATATAAACCAGCATAACGTTTCTTATTAATCAATAAATATGGACAGTATACCTAATAATAATAATAATAAGAGATTGGGAGAATACCAAGATAAATCGATAAATAACAGACAAATGTATGAAATATTGAAGCAGCTTTAGATAAATAACAAAATGAGGCAGAGTAAATGTGTCTACTTAAAAGCTAGGCGTGATTGACTCTCTAATCACACTGATCATGATTATCGTGCATACTGCAACTGACTTATCATCACACACTATGTTACACCTGGACGTAAACACGTCATTTTGATATATATTCTTGAACTAACGAACGAGTATACCTTAGTCGGAAACGTGAGAGTCAGGATCGAGGATCCGGTGACACGACATGCTACTCAAATCCGATTATCCCAACCTCCATCCATATTTAGTTAAAATAAGAAGATGTGATATGAAGTAGAACCTGTATTCTACAAGCATCCAGAAAGTACGAGATCCGAATCCAGAAGAGAATCAGGATCCCGGACTAGGCATCCGGGTCCTAGTCGTGGTCATAAAACGTTACAGATAATGCGTGTTTATACATTTTGGTCGAATAGGAAACAGCATCGAAGTCTGTGACATCGACAGTTAAGACGACCAATAGGAAGTAACATTTAAAGTGACATTGATGGTCAGGACAACCAATAAGAGACAACATTGGTGCACGTGACATTGATATCTAGGACGACCATGAAATTGACCAGTAGGAATTGACCAATAATTCTCTTAGGATAGTGCGTGAATATCCTAACACACAATCATCATCTTTCTTGTTCTAAATTTATTCCACTGAATTATACATCTTGAATAACATCTTCAAACCCTAATCTTACACTTATTACCGCTGGTGAAGTGCCCAACCACCAACTGACTCAATGAACTATGTTTTGTAGTGTAGGAGTAGGTTGGAAGAAAGCTAGGAAGCAGTCAAACCGAAAAACATGGCACAAATTCATGATGTAAACAACCTGGTTGGGGTCCGCAAGATACTAAATAGTAACCGATGATTAGAGATCTTGAATGACATGACTCAAAACCGTTTGCAATGGTGCATGTGCATCCACTCTTTGTGTTCTCTCTAATTCTAATCTTCTGAATTCATCATCGCCTCCAACTTTCTCACTCAATTATGCTGCTAGAATAATATCTTCGAACCCTCATCTTACTGATTACTGCTAATACTTCTACTATCTTTACTACTAGGTGATTTGAATTTACAATTGTGACTCTGTGTTAATGTGGTATGGCAACCTGAACTTATGTACGTACGTACGATGTTCTACGTTGTAATTGACAAACTGACTGTACTCCAACTGACCGTACCTAAATTTCTTCAAAGCTAACCTTACATTACCACTAACACATAGTCTATCGAGATGGGAGATGGCTGTGTATCTGTAACAAATATCTCAACCAGCTCGATTCATAAGGGTGTACAACCTCATCAGTAGATTTGTCATCTTTATCGAATACCTTATGTTCAGCATTGATAGTGCTCACTCAGTTGTTCATATGAAAAGTAAAACATTGATTAGAGGTATCATTAAAACAAAAGTTTGCAATTTACTCATATCTTCTACTATGTTCTATACATATAGTATAATACAAAGCAAACTGTTGCGTTTTGTTACTCAAAGTCTGTTTGACAAACAGACATTTTTTACTACAACATAATATAATGCAAATTAGGCACGCTAAATAAGATTTTCAAAATAAGTAGATTATTCAGTATAGAGTTATGAAGATTGTTGAGTTTCATTGATAGTATCAAACGATCATTATTACTTACTTACTTACTTTCGCCTGTTACCCCCAATGGAGCATAGGCCGCCCACCAAAACGATCATTATTAGACCAACTGTTAGAAGTCTGGAAGCACTGAACGGACGTTTCGCTCGAGTATAGGACTGACTCATCAATGACAGTGAGCGTCCATGATTCACACTTGCAGGAATCGAACCGTGGACCTTCGATCTCGAGTGAGAACGCTTGATCCTGTAGACCACTGAACTGCGGCATCAAACGGTGTTAATTTCTGACTTTGATCAATCAGAGAATTTTGTGCAATCTCATCTATTGTTTTCGTTAGTTACTGTTTCTACATGCTTCTCAATAGAACTGAGAAAACTTTCTCATAAAGCTAGTCACTAGTGAGCACATTCGCACGAGAGGATATTACGAATGAGCACTGCCATTGATGAGCCTCGTAGTATAAGATGAAATGGCCGTCCAGTGCTTCCAAATTTCTAATTGGTTGGTTTAACACAATGATCCATTCATCATTTCAATAAGAAGATTAATCAACGAACTCAACATCTTTACATTTTAAGCAATGATATAAACCTAATATGATCACTTATCTGGGGAATCTCATCAGTGCCGATGGCCTGGTGACTGACGAAATCTCAGCACGGATACAGATGGCTCGATTAGCTTTTGCCAACCTACGTCACTTATGGCGTAGGCGAGATATTCGTTTGCTGAATAAAAGACGAGTGTACTGCGTAGCAGTTCGATCCGTCTTACTTTATGGCTGTGAAACATGGACAGTGAGAGTAGAAGATATTCGTAGGTTACTGGTTTTCGATCATATGTGTCTTAGAAGCATTGTTCATATATCCTGGGACAGCCGAGTGAGCAACGCTGTTATTAAGAAACGGGTGCTAGGTAAGAATGGAAGATCAAAAGATGAAGTAATGAAACTTCATCAGATGAGGTGGTTGGGACATGTGTTACGTATGCCTAACCACCGACTGCCTCGAAGAGCTTTGTTTTGTAGTGTAGGAATAGGTTGGAAGAAAGTTAGGGGCGGCCAGAACAAAACATGGCACAAATCCATGAAGTCATTGACGAGTGGACTGAGTCATGTCGGTAATTGTCGACCTGGTTGGGGTCCGCCAGATGATAATAATCGATGAATGACATGGCTCAAAATCGTTCGCAATGGCGCCAGTGCATTTATGCTTTGTGTTCTCTCAAATCCTAATCTTCTGGATTCTTCAACCACTCTAGTTTTGACTTTCTAAACTTTTCTCATTGAATCATACTTCGTGAATAATATCTTCTAGCGTTGTATTTATTCTTCGCCTTGGCTTTCGCCATCACCTCCGGCTTCTTATTCCTTGCTATTTTGGAATATAATCTTTTCCTGTTCAACCGTGATTTGATTCTTGGGAACTTGTCCAGTGTTTTGTGTCAAAGAATACTAAGCAATAAGATTTAGCCGGAGACTATATAAGCAAACCTTTACAACAGAATCATATGACACCTTCTTCTGATGAATAGACAAAAAAGGGGGATATTTATTTATTCATTCATTCATTACAAACCTTTTCAAATTCTAATCGAATTGGTTTCGGGAATTCTTCAGAGATAATTTCCGCGGCTTTACGACCTAATTCCATAGCTTCTGCTACAGTGGATACACCAAATTTACACATTACTGAATCAGTATCACCATAAATAACCTATGACCGGGAGAGAAAAAAAAAGAGGAAACAAGAAAATCAATACTGACAAAATAAGCATTCTACATAGAAATTATGCATCATGAAATCAAGGAATTGAACATTGTTGGGGCAACCATTAGAAACCTCGAAGCACTGAACTTCCGTAAGAAGCCATGAACAAAGAAGTTCAATCGTGTCGGGTCCAGACCGTAGGTGCTACCTTGATCAAGCATGATCGGGTCATGATGAACAGAGAAGTTGTGTGATCTTTCACTCTCTCTCTCTCTCTATCTCTAATCCGATCATTGGTTATTTCATCTAGCAGGATCGGTGACCTCATCACGAATTAAGCACACCAAACAAGATCTTAGTACTCATTGGTCCACGAGCTCCTTTCGACTCATGTAGCCAATCAAAAATCGAAAATTATGCTAACTTTCTCATAGATATACAAACTTCTAATGTACATAGTACAAGAAATACCCGACCGAAGCTGCTACCTTGATGTGGCGGTCGAGCTTGCCTATCTTGATGACCCCAATCGAGCTACATTGGCTGAAACATATGTTCTTGTAGGTTCGTTCTACCATGCCAGGCAGGTTGATTGGAGAACGATCAGACTAAAAACAGCTAACCAAGGTCTGAGGGCGAAGTCGTACTGTTGACTGAAGAGAGGTGTGACAGCAGTAAGGTGTTTCCCTCGGATAACCAGCATCTGCAGTGATGCTGACTTTTCACAAAGAAGGAAGGGTTAGAAAAGGTCGACCCTAAAAATGTCACACCTCCCCTAACTCACGGATTTCCGTCTCCGTCGGTAAGGGTGCCCACTAAGGGCCTCTAAGAGCGGAGCTAATACTCAGAAAACCTTTTATCAAAAGGCAAGCAGTTGTCCTTCGGGCTCTGTGGTCACGCTTTCAGGTCTCTAAGACCAACACTAATTTTCCTTCCTTTACAGGTCCATCAAGAAACAACCTTCCACGGTGTGGGCAGCCGGGAAGTGACAACCGCCCTCATACCTGTAACTGACTGACACACAGCACACAAGACCAAATTGGTCGAAATCAAATCAAAATCGTGTCGGGTAAGAGAAACTTACCTAACGAAGACAATGGGTGAGGTTAAGCAAAACTTTAGATTGATTAAAGTTAGACATTAACACCGTTGAATGCCAACTAAGTGGTTAAGTGTTCGAGCACGAGATCAAGGGTCCTGGGTTCGATTCTGGTAAGTAAAGGTCGTGGATGTGCACTGCTGATGAGCCTTATATAAGGACTAGACAGTCATCCATCTACAATTTTTTTTAACTCATTAAGAAACTGGATATTTTTCAATTTCCAAATGCCCTTGTACGGCCAAGAGTGGGGAGGAACACTCCATCTCATTCAAAATTCTTTCATATAGCCACAAAGAATGAAAGTTCTACTCAATGCCTCTTCTCATGCTGAGATGTCAATTCACGAAGTTAAGTAAACAAAAAGTGAATGTCCAACCGGGGCGGTGGGTACAGAGAATTCACCCAAGGGGGGAGTTAGGAAAATTTTGATTGAAAACCAACACTTTACACATACTCCAGGACATTAAGAGAACAAACAGCATACGAGACTACTGTTGATGACTAACTACCATCAGATGTCGCTGCATTACTTTGTGAATTAAAATTGTTGTTGAAAGGCTCAAGTACAGGTTCCCTAAGGAAACTACATGCTTCAGCTTTAAGTCTCTCGCTCAGTATTTCGGCCTACACATACATACAATGATTTGTGTGGCGTATCTACATTTAAGTGTCCTTTTGAACCAATAGAAAAATGAATCATGATAACTCATTCATCATGATGTAAGAAAAAACGTTAAATAATCAATAACAATCGATTTCTTGTTTCGGATTGAGATGGTGGAGAAAACTTGTAGCTCAGGTGGATGATTGTGGTGGTGTTTCGTTCTCTGAGCTGGTTGTTTTCGTTGTGGAGCTTTCATTGTTCTTCTACTGAACAACAACAACATCAGCACAAACTTCAGATAGAAAAGTGAAGCATTCGAATTTCTCCACGTTTGACCTGTAGCTTGTTCTGCTAACCTCGATCTTGATTGGTGGTTGTTGACTTTTGACCTGTCGTTGTTTGCAACTTTGTTTTGATTGCACCCCCCTTTTGATCTGTTTCTTGATCCTGTGTCAAAAAAGTAGCATATCAGGGGGGTCAGGGTGGGGAAAGCTGATCCCAAAGTGGGACGGACCGTACGTTATCACGGAGAGACGCGGCGCGGTGTACACGATCCGGAGAGAAGACAAGCAGAAGCGTGTAAATGCCAGTAAACTGCAGAGGTGGTTTCAAGATTATCAAGTGTGTGAGTCACGGAAAGCACCAAAGAAGACAGTGATACGGCGATAAGAAAGATTACGACGACAGCTTATTAAAAGGGGGGACGAGTGTGGTGCGCGCTACTTATAAGTAGTATATGACGCGAGTAAAAAAACGTAATGTCTGGCAGCAGAAAATGGGGGAAGATCAAGAAAGGAAGAGTGGCAACACAATGGAATTTGTATGAGACGCATGAATAGTGAAATGTCAGACAATGGATTGATGATGGATTGAAGTTTTGCAAACTAACCGTTTACGATATGGTTTTCCTATTTTTACTGAGTAACTCAGTAAATTTCGATGAAAAATTCGAATGCCCTCACCTGTGTTTGAAGGCCTCTCCAGCTTCGTTTGAGTGAACACCAATTAGCAGTCAAACGCCACGACAACGCTTCCCTTATATCAACAATACACACCGACAATTATGGACACACATTCGATTGGAACAATGTATAAATATTGGGTAGGGAGAGGACAAAGAACACGGGAATTTTTACAAGCTTGGCACTCAGATCAATCGGCAATCAACAAACACATCGACACTGACCCAATTTATCAACCAATCAGAAAAATCATAGGTGACATAGGATCAAGAAACAGATCAAAAGGGGGGTGCAATCAAAACAAAGTTGCAAACAACGACAGATCAAAAGACAACTGCAACCGATCAAGATCGAGGTTAGCAGAACAAGCTACAGGTCAAACATGGAGAAATTCGAATGCTTCACTTTTCTATCTGAAGTTTGTGCTGATGTTGTTGTTGTTCAGAAGAAGAACAAAGAAAGCTCCACAACGAAAACACCCAGCTCAGAGAACGAAACACCACAACAATGTTTCGGGTTGATTAAAATCAAACTAACTTACCACAGCATCATGTTTATAACCATTGGAAATCGTAAATTTTTGTTCAACATGTAATTTCGTTTGTTCAATCATTAAACGTCCATACGAAGTAACTGATGCTGAGATTTCTAAACATGGCAACTTGCCAACTTGGGCACCAGTAAATCCATATACAGAATTTGCACTAATTTTTAATGCCAGCTGACGTCCATCTAAAACACGTTTACGTAATGGATCAGTTTCTTTGGCAAGTTCTGCTTTAGCTCTGTAAAATTCAAAGAGGGGATTGATGAGAAAAACCAAAAGAGGCATTGTCAGTGAAGATTGTTGAGCTTTTACTGAAATCATGTACTGATCGATGATAGACCATCATTGGAAAACTGGAATCACTAGATGACCGCTTCGTCTTAATATGGGGTATGTCAGCACTGTGCATTCACACCTTCAGAACATGGTCTAGAGGTTAGGCGTTTGAGCGCAAGACCGAAGGTCCTAATTTTGGATTTTATGTTTTCGAGCATGGGCTGACCAGTTAACCTTGAGATTATGTTTCCCATTCAGAAAATCCTTGACCGTTATTGGTTGATGCATTATTTAAGTACGTTATTTTTATGGCTCTAGCATGTATAAATAAACTCGATCGTGTGTGCTTGTCAATCTCATATTTTGTGGGTGCTTGTAGAATACATTTTCTACGTCTTGTCAAGACCTCTTCCCCTGATTAGTGAGGCCTCAGGACGCTCGGATTAGAGTAGCCTATCGTGTCACTGGATCATTTGTCTTCGCTCTCGTTTACCAACTAAGGTGAACTGGTAATAGTTTCAAGCATATCAATTGACGAGCACAACACCTTCTTATAACCGTCAGCGAATGTGTGCATTACTCACTTCGTTTGTGACATGTCTACCTTATTTATTGTCTGACGATAAAAACTTAATCACGCCTTATCACATGAAGTTGGTTCATTTGCTTTCTCCGCTTCGCTACGCTTTCCATCCATCTGACTGCGTGCGCGAACGATTTTTACAATGAAATAAACTCTCAACCACCAACTGAATCCATATTTTTGGCTTCCCCAATACCCCCGACGTACGAACGCAGGATTCACCTACCAACTAAGCATGACTGATATATACGGAAATGAAGAAGCAAGATTTATTTCATAATATGAAGTCAGATTATTGGGCGGCCATTCTGTTATGCTTGCCACCAGTCGATATGCTTGGAACTATTACAAGTTCGTTCACCTTTGTCGATAAAAGAGAGCGAAAACAAATGATCCAGTGATACGATAGGCTACTCTAATTCAAGCGTCCCAATGCCCCTACTAAGTAGAGGAAGAAGTCTTGACAAAACTTAGAAAGTGCATTCTACAAGCACCCACAAAATATGAGATTGACAAGCACACACATTCAAGTTTATTTATTCATGATAAAGACGTACTTGGGAGGGGCGCTAAAATAATACATTAACCAATAACAGTCAAGGATTTTCCAGGTGGGAAATCTAATCTCAAGGTCAACTGATCAGCCCATGCGCAAAAAACATTAAATCCAAAATGAGGACCTTTATCAAGTGAGTTCTGGGGATCTAACATCCCCCCCGACACACCCCACAAAATTTTTGATCATTTAACTAACTAGAAACAACATATATCATCGATCCAAATGATTTATTTTCTTTTACACATTGGAAATCATCAATCAATCATTGTTAGACCACCATTAGAAACCTGGAAGCACTGGACGGCCGTTTCGTCCTGGTATGGGACTTCATCAGCAGTGCGCATCCACAACTCCTGCTCCTCGCAGGATTCGAACCCAGGACTTTCGGCATTGTAGGCGAACGCCTTATCATCGGTTTCTAATGGAGGTGGTCTAACAAGGATTGACTGATGATTTCAAATGTGTTAAAAACGCAAATCTCCAAAACTCTGCCCCAAAATTATTTTCTTTTGAAAAAATCAAAAAAAAAACAACTTACTTTTTCCTAGCACTTAATAATTGTTCTAAAATTTCCGGTAGAATACCATGACACACATGTGATTTGACAAAATATGCTCCAGTTGGTGTTCGATGAAAATCTTCTTCTGTTAATTCATAACGTTCCATTAATGCTTGAAGACCGCCGCCGCCGCTGACGCCGCCACCACAACCTGCTGTTGTATTAACTTGTAATAATGTTGTATAACATAAATTATAGGCCATCATAATACTTGGATATAAACTAGCAAAATCTAATGTCGCTATAGGTTCATCATAAAAACCTTTACGTGGTTCTAGTACAGTGGCACCGACAAATTCATCACCTTGTTGTGATTGATATGTTGGCAATAGGTAACCATGTTCATGAGCTTTACGTAATAATTGTGATACAACCTATTTGTAGTGAAGGAGAACACAGGTGAAGGCAACCGAATTTGAATTTATCACAAATTACAGAGTTAATTGGTAAAATAGGAAAACTATGTCGTAAATCGTTAGTTAATTTGTAAAATATCAATCCATCATATCGAACTGGATGGACTGTTCCTGTTGCAAAACATCATCGATCCATTGTCTGATATTTCACTAATCAGCGTTTCATACAAATTCCATTGTGTTCCCACCCTTCCTTTCTTGATCTTCCCCCCATCTTCTGCTGCCAGACATTACGTTTTTTACTCACGTCATACACTACTTATAAGTAGCGCGCAGCACACTATCAGTTGTTGAATTGATAGAGAGAGAGTAAAATCGAATGTTTAAGATACTTGATTATTGGTAAACTAGTCTACAACCCCTCTAAGGGGATTATTACTGCTCACGCCAAGCTTAGATAAAGAAGAAAAGTTCAGCATTGGATTAGAAAGCTATCCAGGAAAAATTATTCGATACTAGTCAGTGAATTATGCTTACTCTCATTCTGGTGGTTGACAGGATTATGAAGATGTCAACATCTGACAAGGGAGGGGGAACATGGGATACAATGGACATCACAGATGCAGTTAGACGATTTAGACTTATCAGATGATCTACCTCTTCTATCCGAAGAAAAAAATAAACGCAGGTGAAGACAACTAATGAAGAAGCAGCCTCTGTAGCAGTAGATCTCAACATACATATAGGAGGATGTACTAATCCCCCCACCCCATACAACACAACATGCACCAACTAAACCACACTTGATAGAGGAACTCTGGAAGGCATGAGAATGTCTACGTGATCAGCGTGAATCTGACGCAGATGTGAAGACATGGATAAGTCAGTCAGTTACAACGAAGAACTTCCTACGTATGTACATCAGTTTAAGTTGACATACAACCACAGAGACGAAATTGCCAATACAAATCCCATAGTAGTAGAGAACACAAAGAATGAATGCACCGGCGCCATTGTAATCGATTTCCAGCCACGTCATTCAAGGTCTCTAACCATTGATTACTATCATCCCGCGGACCGCAACCAGTTAGTCTACGTTTAACAACATGACTCAATTCACTTGTCAGTGATTTCATGGATTTGTGCCATGTTTTAGTTTGACCGCTCCTAGCTTTCTTCCAACCTACTACTCCTACACCGTAAAACATAGCTCGACGAAGCAGTCAGTAGTTGGGCATTCGTAAAGTTAGGGCATTATTGCTACAAATGAAGAATATCTCGAAATCAAATTAACTGTCACAATTTTCAATACAAACATCAAAACAGTTCAACTGTATGGAGCGGAAGCTTGGAGAACTACCGTGGCCATTATCCACAAGTAACAGGTGTTCATCAACAGTTATCTACGCAAGATACTCCATATCCGTTGGCCAGACACTGTCAGTAACAACCTACTATGGGTAAGAATAAACTGAGTTCCAACAGAGGAAGAAATTAAGAAAAGGAATAGAGGTGGATAAGACACACATTGTGGAAATCATCCAACTACTTCACAAGACAAGCCATAACTTGGAGATGTTAGGATATTCATCCAATATCCTAGGACAATTATTGGTCAATTCCTACTGGTCAATTTTATGGTCGTCCTAGATATCAATGTCACATACTCCAATGTTGTTTCTTATTGGTTGTCCTGACTATCAATGTCACTTCAAATGTTACTTCCTATTGGTCGTCTTAACTTCTAATGCCACAGAATTCGATGATGTTTCCTATTCGACCAAAATGTATAAATACGCATTATCTGTAACATTTTATGACCACGACCAGGACCAAGGCTCAGTCCCGGATCCCTAGTCCGGGATCCTGATTCTCTTCTGTATTCGGACCTCATACTTTCTGGATGCTTGTAGAATACACGTTCTACTTCATATCATGTCTTATTTTTACTAAATATGGGGGTTGTGATAATCGGATTTCAGTAGCATGTCGTGTCACCGGAACCTCGCTCTCGTTTTTCCGACTAGGTAAACTCGTAAATAGTTCAAGTTTATCAAGTTGACGTGTTTACTTGCAGGCGTAACAGGAGACCATTCAGGGCTAACGATAAAGAGAAAGACCATCAAAGGACACATTATACAGAGAATCAGAAGCAAACAAGAAAAGAATGATCAACAGTTGGAGTGGAACTGGTAAAAGACAGGCCCAAGGAAGAGTAGGTTGAAAAAGCATGCTGGTCAGTAGGCGGCCCCAAAACTCCATCAGAAAGGCCGACCAGGCATTAATCGAATCCAATTAAATGTTAATGGAAAATAAAATCAACACACTAACCTTGACTTGTTGACCACGTGTAAGTAAATAAGTCAGCGGGACACCAGTAACTCGAGCCATTTCAATATTATTTACAATACACATTAATTTATCCAATAAACGTAATGGTAAATATGCATCTTTTAAACAATAAACAGCTAAACGTCGACGTGTTTGCATATCACCATTTTGTAGCTCCGTGATAACATTATGATGAACATCTTCTTTTTGTTCTTCAAGAAAATGATAACTCACAGCATTCAATGTATAACTGCGTAGTTTATAATCACGAAATAAGATCTAGAATAATAGCAGTGACAAAAGGAAAGTAATTTGAATTAGAAAATTTGACAGGCAGTTGCAATGACGGGTATGAGGGCGGTTATCACTTCCCAGGTGCCCACAGCGTGGAAGGTTGTTTCTCGAGGGACCTGAAAAGGAATGTATATTAGTGTTGGTCTTAGAGACCTGGGTGCGTGACCGCAGAGCCCAGGGGACAACTGCTTCAGGCCGGTCATGCACGACCTTTTGATGAAAGGTTTTTTTAGTATTAGCTCCGCTCTAGAAAGCCTTTGATGGGCAGCTCTTACCGACGGAGACGGAAATCCGTGAGGTAGGATGAGGTGTGACATTTTTAGAGTCGACCTTCTCTAACCCTTCCTTCCTTGTGAGAAGGCAGCATCGTTGCAGATGCTGTTTGTCCGAGGGAAACACCTTAATGCTGTCACACCTCTCCATCACAGTTAGCAGTGCCACTGCGCCATCAGACCTAGAGTAGCTGCTTTTAGTCTCATCGTTCTCCAATCGACCAACTCTTCGCGACATTGACTTACACTTGTCTTTTTTGAAATCATACATTGATCAATGTTAGACCAACTCATTTGAAGAAACATTGGAAGCGCTGAAAGACAACCGTTTCCGCCTGGTATGCAACTGAGCAGTGGCAGTACATAACTATGAATCCTGCACCTTGCGGGATTCGAACCCGGAGACTTTCGGTCGTATCAGTCAGTCAGTGAGTCAGATGCAACGTAGAAATATGTACGTAAGTACATCAGTTCATGTTACCATAACACATCAACACAGAGATATAATTGTCAATTCAAATCCAATAGTAGAAGAGGTAGTTAAGGTATTAGAAGTAATCGGAGAGGTTAGGATTAGAAGATATTATTCAAGAAGTATGATTCAGTGAGATAAGTTTAAAAAGTCAAAACTAGAGGTGTTGAAGAATCCAGAAGATTAGGATTTGAGAGAACACAAAGAATAAATGCACCGGCGCCACTGCGAACGATTTTCAGCCGTCATTCAAGGTCTCTAACCATCGATTACTATCATCTCGCAGACCCCAACCAGGTAGTCGACAACTACATAAATAACTCAGTCCACTTGTCAATGACTTCATAGATTTCTGCCATTTTCCAATCTACTCCTGCACTGCAAAACATAGTTCGTCGAGGCAGTTGTGGTTAGGCATACGCAGCACATGTCCCAACCACCTCAACTGATGAAGTTTCATTACTTCATATATTGATCTGCCATTCTTACCTAGCACCCGATTCCTAATAACAGCGTTGCTCACTCGGTTGTCCCAGGATATACGAGCAATGCTTCGAAGACACCTATGATCGAAAACCAGAAACCTACGAATATCTTCTACTCTCACTGGCCATGTTTCACAGCCATAAAGTAAGACGGAGCGAACTACTGCGCAGTACACTCGTTCTTTAGTCAGCAAACGGATATCACGCCTACGCCATAAGTGACGCAGGTTGGCAAAAGCCAATCGAGCCTTCTGTATCCGTGCTGAGATTTCGTCAGTCACCAGGCCATCGGCACTGATGAGACTCCCAAGATAAGTGAAGCGGTCAACACGCTCGACTAGTTTACTCCCTATCACTAGTTCAGGTTCCGATGAAACCCAATCTTGAAGCAACATTTCGCATTTCAAGGGGTAAAACTGCATCCCGAAAATTCTTGCATTGTTGCTTAGGGTGGTCAGAAGACTCTGCATTTTGTCAGTCTTCACCAAGCAAAACTATGTCATCGGCATATTCTAAATCAATAAGCGAGGCACCTGGTAGAAGGTCTACTCCTGAAAATTCAGACGAGGATAAGGTTATTTCTAGCAGCATGTCTATGATAAAATTAAACAAGAATGGAGAAAGTGGACATCCTTGACGGATACCACTTGAAGTAAAGCTCTCACTCGACCAGTGGTGTTCGAGTAGAGAGCTTGTATAAGGTTAATGTACTTCTTTGGTACACCTTTTAATGACAGGCACTGCCACAGAACCTTACGGTCCACAGAGTCGAATGCCGCCTCAAGATCCAGGAAGACAACTATTGTAGGACGCCTAAATATGTGTCTGTGTTCCAGGACCTGTCGTAGTGTGAAGATCTGGTCAATACAGCCACGTCCAAGTCTGAAACCAGCCTGGTTTTCTCTAGTCTGCTCTTCACGAGCTTTCGTTAAGCGTCGAAGTATTATTGAGGCCCTTCGGTCGTATGCGCGCGTGAGTGCCGATACAATCGACAAACATAATTAATTTTGATAGAACAATCGATACACACATACATAGGGAGGGAGTAATGGGATTTGCAATCACCGGTTATGGAACATGTTTTACTCATACCTAAGTGATTTCAAAATCAGTCAACTTCAGATTACCCGGATAATTGTCGAATGAAAAAGTAGTAACTACCAAAAAGACAAATGGGTGAGGTAACGCAAAATCTCTAAATCAATCAGAGTTAGACATTAACACCGCTGGATGCCGACTCAGTGGTCCAGAGGATAAGACTAATTCACGACTCCTATACCCCACATGATTCCAATACAGGACCTTCGTTCTTGCGCGCAAACACCTAGCCACTAGACCACTGGGCTGGTATCCGACGGTGTTAATGTCTAACTTCGATCAGTTAGCGGAGTTGCGCAACCGGAAACACAGACCAAAGGTCCTGGGTTCGAATCCTGCGGGGTACAGTAGTCGTGGATGCGCACTGCCACTGATGAGTCCCATACCATGACGAAACGGCCATCCAATGCTTCCAGGTTTCTAATGGTAGTCTAACATTGATCGATTCATGATTTCAAATGTGTAACTTAGTAATCTTCACAACACCGTATATATATATATATATATATATATATATATATATATATGTGTATAATATCACTAAACTTAATGGTCATGGTAGGAATTTCGTTCACTGAAGCTGGATGTTCTCGTCGTAGAGCATTCATTGTTTTTTTTTCGAATACAACATCAACTTCAAGGTCAAAGTCAATAGGAAAAGTTATAAGTCATAGGTGCAGACATTCGAACACTTCACTTCTCTACTTGATTGATTTACATTGATTTGAACACAATAGAAATATTCAAAGTATTCTGGTTTCCTAGTTATGATTAGTTCATGAATTAATAGAATTAAGGAAATGTAGTATAATACACATTGCAGAAATTACTCAACTGCGTCTCAAAAGACAGGCCCTAACTTTGAATCCTCATGACCAAAGGAAATGAGGTAGAACAAGGATCATGCTGAGCCGAGCATTGGGGACAGACATAGACATAATGAATAACAATTGGGTAGAAATGGGAAGGAAAACCCCGGAGAATGCTGGTCGGCGGCTTGTAATCCATTAGAGGTAACAAAAGTAAGTAAGTAAGTGAAGTATAATTCTGACTGTAGACAGCTTAAAACAGAGTTGGCTTTTATCTTCAACGTGGAACTTCGTACGCACGTACATCAGTTCAATGTGCTATGGCAAGTTGAACTAATGGACATAAGTACGAAGTTCTATGTTGTTGCTAACTGACCCTCAATTTCAGTTGGCCGAGTGTATATAGCCATCACCAGGAAAGTCATACTTATAGCCCTTTTTTACGAGGGGCGAGGTATTGTCTACGGAATTCAAAGGACACGGGCTTAAGGATCTTGAGCGAATAAATGGAGCATAAACCTACAGTTGAAAACTGACAACCGTTGGATCGCATCTCCTGATAATGCTCGACTACTTTGTGGAGTAGACGTGTTGGTTAAAGGTACAGAGGGAGTGTCATCCAACAAAAATCATCTGTTTCGCCCCCAAGTAAATTCAATAATTTTTGAGGTATATCAACTTGTCGTAGGAGTATCATTTGGTACAGTTAATTGGGCATAATTATTTCAATTGTGTATGTAACCAGAAAACCTAACCCAAAGTATAAATGTCAATGATGAAAGTGTGCTTCATGTCAAATAACTGAAATATATCAGTCAGTTAGTCAGCTACAATGTAGAACTGAGTACGTTCGTACGTACATCAGTTCAAGTTGCCATACCATATTAGCACAAACAGAGAGAAACGGAGCTGTTAGTTCAAATCCCGTAGTGGTAAAGGTAGTAGATGTACGGACGGTAATTGAAAAGATAAGAATTCGAAGATATTATTCAGAGGAGTATAATCCAGTGAAATAAATTTGAGAAGAGAAAGATGATGGTCATGAGGAATGCGGATTAGATCTTCAGAGAAAACGAAGAATGGATGCACCTGCGACATTGCAAACGATTTTGAGTCCTGTTGTACAAAGTGGGTAACCACTGGCTACTATTGTCTCGAAGACTCCAACTAGGTAGTCGACACCTACTAACATGACTCAGTCCAGTTGTCAATGACTACATGGATGATTTGTACCATGTTTTAGTTTGGCCACCCCTAGCTATCTTCCAGCCTACTACTACTCCTACATCAGGCAACATCACACGTCAAGGCAGTCGGTGGTTGAGCAAATAAAGTTTTCATTGTCGTTCCAGCCAACGCCTCAGTCAGTCAGTCAGTCACAACGTAGAACTTCGTACGTCTGTGTACATGTCATTCAAGGTCTCTAGCCATCGATTATTATCATCTCGCGGACCCCAACCAGGTAGTCGACAACTACCCACATGGCTGAGTCCACTCGTCAATGACTTCATGGATTTCTGCCATGTTTTGGTTTGGCCGCCCTTAACTTTCTTCCAACATATTCCTACACCACAAAACATAGCTCGACGAGGCAGTCGGTGGATGGGCATACGCAACACATGTCCCAACCACCTCAACTGATGAAGTTTCAATACTTCATCGATTGATCTGCCATTCTTACCTAGCACCCGATTCCTAATAACAGCGTTGCTCACTCGGTTGTCCCAGGATATACGAGCAATGCTTCGAAGACACCTATGATCGAAAACCAGTGACCAACGAATATCTTCTGCTCTCACTGGCCATGTTTCACAGCCATAAAGTAGGATGGAGCGAACTGCTGCACAGTACACTCGTTCTTTAGTCAGCAAACGGATATCACGCCTACGCCATAAGTGACGCAGGTTGGCAAAAGCCAATCGAGCCTTCTGTATCCGTGCTGAGATTTCGTCAGTCACCAGGCTATCGGCACTGATGAGACTCCCAAGATAAGTGAAGCGGTCGTAACGCCCAACTACTTCACGCCCTATCACTAGTTCAGGTGCCGATGAAACCCAGTCTTGAAGCAACATTTTGCATTTCGAGGGGGAAAACCGCATCCCGAACATGCTTGCATTGTTGCTTAGGGTAGTCAGAAGACTCTGCATTTTGTCAGCATCTTCACCAAGTAGTGAGAAGACTGAGGCAGGCTCGATAGATTGTATTTGGCAAATTTACACTCTTAGTCAATTAAAAACGATAACATTACATTGAACACTCCATTTGCACACCATCTTTGAGTCCTGACTTCCAACGCTCCAGCCTTCCTCCATTCCTGCTGTTGCTTCCTTTACTTCCTGTCGGTGCTCTATTTCTTTCTTGCTTTTGCTCTATTTGCTTTCCGTTTTCCTCTTCTGACCGTAAGACATCTTCTTTCACGTCCATTCTTATACTACTTATATCGTTCGTATAAGTAGCACACACCACACTCGTCCCCCCTTTAACAAGTCGCTCTCTCAGCCTTTCTGATCTCCGTACAGCCGTCTTCTTTATCAGTGTTTGTGGCTCGCCCTCTTGGCGCACTTGGAACCACCTTTGGAGTTCACTGGCATTCACGCGTTTCTGTTTGTTTCCTTTCTGGATTGTATACACTGCGCCGCGCCTCTCGGTTGCTACGTACGGTCCCTCCCACTTCGGGATCAGCTTACCTGACCCTGGCCCTCTTCCTGTGGTACATTTCCGTTCTCTACACTTCACTTGGTCTCCCACTTCAAACGGTCTCCAGTTCTTTCTCTCCTGTTCTGACTTATGCATGTCTGATGTTTGTTTCTCTCTCACATTCCTGATTGCTTGTCTCCGCTCTGTTCTCAATCTTGTTGTATTCCATCTCTGTTGTTGCGGCCAGGTTTTATCATGCGTTGGTAGTCTCGGCCGTCTGCCATACATCAGCTGGAACGGTGACTTCCTGGTTGTTCCCTGTGCCGAGGCACGATGTGCCAGCAAGATTAATGGTAATTCTTTCTCCCAGTCACCCCCTTTAGATGCTAGCCATTCCTTTAGCGTTCGGTTATTCCTTTCCGTTAACCCATTCGTCTGTGGATGATACGGCGTTGTTCGTACTCTCTTGATACCTAAATGCTTTAGACGGGACTTGAACTCATCACTCTCGAAACAGGGACCTTGATCGGTTAATATTATCTTTGGTATCCCATGGTCAGCCACAATGTGCCGCATTACCGCTCCCGTCACCGTCCTTGCACGTTGGTCCGCCATCGGCACGGCATTTACCCATCGTGTGGCATGCTCAGTCATCACCAGCAGGTACTGGTTACCACTTGTCGTCTGTGGGAACGGTCCCATAATATCTACTGATCACAAATCACCAACTGCTGTTACTGGAATTGACTGCAATGGCGGTCGTATGCATCGATCCCCTTTCATTAGTTGACATCGCTGGCACGCTAATACATATCGTGCAACATCGTCTCTCATACCTGGCCAGTACGCACTTTGTCGCAGCAAATCAGTTGTCCGTGCAATACCTGTGTGCGCTACCTGGTGACATTCACGAATCATGTCCTGGCGCAGATCTTTTGGGATTATCGCTACCCAATTCTCGTCATCATCCCGCCAGGTCAAGGCTCCGTATCCGTTCACTCTCAGTCTCTCCTTCTGCCTCAGCAACACTGTTAATTCTTTATCTGTTCCACTCTTGTCAACATCTTCTCCCTCTTTTATCACTCTGATTACCTCCCGAAGGTTAGGGTCGGCTTTCTGATGCCGGACGAGTTCTAGGGGATCTCCCTCTAGGCCGTTAACTGCACACGCTATCTCTGGAAGTTCAGCTTCGGTGTCCGGTCTTGACAAATAATCTGCCATTACATTTTCCTCCCCTGGCACATGCCCGATACTAAAATCATACTCCTGCAGACGTAGCATCCATCGAGCCAACTTCCCCCGAGGGTCTTTTGCTGTTTTTAACCATTGTAGGGGCTTATGATCCGTCTCGATGTGAAATCGCCGACCCAGTAGATACGGTCTCCATTTGTCTACCGCCCATACAATCGCTAAACACTCTTTTTCTACTGTGGAATACTTCTGTTCTGTCGGCGTAAGGACACGGCTGGCATACTCCACCACTCTGTCAGACTGCCTCAGGACCGCACCTATACCGTGATCGCTCGCACCAGTGGTCACTGTAAATGGCTTCTCGGGTTCCGGCAGTCTCAGCGTCATTTGGCGGTCATCTAACAGCTCTTTGATTCGGTCGAAAGTTTGTTGAGCGGTCTCTGTCCACGTAAACTTCGCATTGCTTAGCACTTTATATAGAGGTGCTGCTATATCGTTGAAGTTCTTCACGAATCTGCTGTAGAACGCCGCTCTTCCCAGGAACTGTCTTAACTTCCTTTTTGAGTTGGGAACTGCAATATTCTTTATCGTTAGAATCTTCTCCGGCAGTGGTTTTATTTCTCCATTGCCTACTTTATGCCCCAACAACCTGACGCTTCTTTTCGCTATCTGAGGCTTGTCTTTGTTAATTCGTAAACCAAACTCATCAATTCGCCTTAGGACCGCCTCCACGTGCCTCACATGTTCTGCCTCTGTACGACTATATACGACCAAATCATCGCCATAAACCTCGACATTCTCCAGGTTTCTGAGCAGCAATGTCATTAGTCTTCGAAACGTAAAGGGTGCGCCCGCCAATCCAAAGGGCATTCGTTTAAATTGATACTGCTTCTCCCGTACGATAAATGCCGTTTTGCTGCGATCACTGTCTTTTATTGGTAGCTGCCAATAGCCCGACCGTAAATCTAACACTGTGAACATCGTAGCACTCTGTAGACGATCTAATGTCTCCGCTATTGTTGGCATTGCACATGGTTTTATTTCTGTCACGTTATTCAGTTCTCTAAAGTCAACACAGAATCTATACTTTCCATTTGGCTTCTTTACCAAAAGTACCGGTGAGCTGTACGGGCTATCTGCTTCTTCAATTATACCTGCTTTTAACATCTCCTGTACCTGCTGGTTTATCTCAGCTTCCAAATGTACGGGGACCCGTCGTGTTGTGAAGATGGTTACTTCTTCGTTCTTTATCGGAATTTCATGTTTGACTTTATTACAAAACCCGTACGGTTCTCCGTCTCCCGTGAACAACTTCTTATATTTTGTGAGCACCTCGTTAATGTTCTGTTTCTTTCCAATGTCCTCTTTTGCTACTCTAACCTCAGCCACCTCGCTGCTTTCATGTATTGTCAGTGTGCCGTACTTTGTAATCACCTTCTTACTTTTTGTATCAATAATTGCTCCTACTTCTCTCAAGAAATCTGCTCCTAGTATTGGTCTCGACAAGTTCGTAGTCACTACAAAGGGAAACTGTATTTTCGAACTGCCGATTTTCATGATATCATTTGAGACTCCGAGGATTTTTAACACGTGGCCGCCGATGGTGTTAACAACTAATGCACTCGGCCTGATACCTCTACACCGCTCTTTGTCTATTAACGAAACTGCCGCCCCTGTATCAATCAGGCAAACTACCTCTCGCTCATTTATCCCTACTCTCGCATAGACCGCCCCCTTATCTACTAATGCCGAAACCCCCAGTTTCGAAAGACATAAAGAACAACTTGTGTATGGTCTAAAATATTTACGTCTTCGTCTTGTTGGGCGATTCCTCTTCCAATGTCCGGTTCCTCCGCAAATGTAGCATTTATTATTTCTTTCACCCTTTATTCGTAACGCTGCCACCTCTCGTTGTAATTCTTCTATCTTCTTCACGACATCATCAGCCTGTCTCTCACAGGCCACCGAGGCGACTGTTGAGTTCATCAGTTGTCTTGTTACTTTCGCCAGCTCGGTGACGTCCATTGGTTGTGCCGCGTTCACCAGTCTCAACTGTTGGCCAATCTCTGCAGGCACACTTTCAATGAATTGCGAGGCTAGCAGCTGTGCCTGCGACTCCTCATCCAAATTCGGCAGACCCCGGCGCAGCAATCTTGTCAACTCCACGGCCAGCACGAGTGGGTCGCCGTCCACCGACAGCCGCGCCTCTCGGAACTTCTGCAGCGCGTCCTGCCTATCCGCCGGGCTGTCGAACTCCAACAGCAGCCTTCCCGTCACCGCCTTCCAGTCAGCGTCCTCCACACTATCGTACACCGCTCTCGCCCTGCCTCTTAGTAGAGTCCCCAGCACCACCGCCTTCGCCTTCCGTTCCTTGACTCCGTTCCAGCTCCGCCACAGCCTCGAACTCCTTCAAGAAGCTCCTTACATCTCCGTCTTCAAACTCCCGAGGCCATGGTATCTTCATCCTGTGTGGAGGCAGCGACACCAATTGAGAAGACTGAGGCAGGCTCGATAGATTGTATTTGGCAAATTTACACTCTTAGTCAATTAAAAACGATAACATTACATTGAACACTCCATTTGCACACCATCTTTGAGTCCTGACTTCCAACGCTCCAGCCTTCCTCCATTCCTGCTGTTACTTCCTTTACTTCCTGTCGGTGCTCTATTTCTTTCTTGCTTTTGCTCTATTTGCTTTCCGTTTTCCTCTTCTGACCGTAAGACATCTTCTTTCACGTCCATTCTTATACTACTTATATCGTTCGTATAAGTAGCACACACCACAGTAGGACAATGTCATCGGCATATTCTAAGTCAATAAGCGAGCCAACGCCTAACTTCATGTAGAAATAATCTTTTCAGTTATTCTCATCACAAGTGTAATATCAATTCTTTCAGAAGGCCTTGTTCATGAGAGATTACAAAATGAGTTAGCTATAACTACTACTCGCAAGATGATATTTCACCAGAAGTAACTAATTTCGACATTCAATCATCAGGTATAAAAAATTATTCACTTACCTGTAATAGATCTAATTGTACACGTCCATCAATATTTACAAATTTATTCTCTCGACGACCCATTTGTTTTGATTGTGTCATAGCTTCACGTACAGTGGAACGTGAACCACGTATACGTCCAAGAAATTCAAAACCATCAACTTTCAATGCATGTGCACGATTAATCAGATAAGGTAAATCGAAATTTTGTATATTATAACCAGTGATAATATCTGGATCAACTTCACGTATAAACATTGACCAATTCTATTCAGAAATTTAAAAGAAAAACGAGGAAATAATTAGTAGTATATATATGTGTATCACTTTGCACGAAGCCCCTCTGAGGCTACTGCCGATACCAAGCCCGGATAGAGGAGGATAAGGCATGAGGTTATCCACTCTATCCTGTAGAAAATTAATTCACTAATATAACGATAACAAGAAAAAAATAGTTCAAATTATGCCCTGGCAGTAACAAGGTTTTCATTTAGAAGAGTAATGATGCCTTATTGACTGACAGTTATGGGTATGAGGGCGATTGTCACTTCCCGGCTGCCCACACCGTGGAATTTTGTTTCTTGAGAGACCTGAAAAGGAAGATAGATTAGTGTTGGTCTTAGAGACCTGGGTGCTTGACTGCAGAGCCCAAGGGACAACTGCTTGAGGCCGGTCACGCATGGCCTTTTTATTAAAGGTTTTTTTAGTATTAGCTCCGCTCTTGAAAGCCCTTAGTGGACACCCTTACCCAAGGAGACGGAAATCCGTGAGGTAGGGTGAGGTGTGACATTTTTAATGTCGACCTTTTCTAACCCTTCCTTCCTTGTGAGAAGACAGCATCGCTGCAGATGCTGGTTGTCCAAGGGAAACACCTTACTACTGTCAAACCCCTTTACAGTCAGCAGTAAGACTTCGCCCTCAGGCCTTGAGTAGCTGCTTTTAGTCTCATCGCTCTCTAATTGACCTGCCTGGCATGGCAGAACCTTCAGGAACATATGTTCCAGCCAATATAGCTCGGTTGGGTCATCACGATAGGCAAGCCCGACCAACACATCAAGGTGGCAGCTACGGTCGGGAATGATGCATTATGATGAAAGCTGAGCATCTACGGAAGACACAAGGCTCATGTCCTTTCCGACATGAGGCTGCTGCTACACTGGTCATCTTCTCTTGTATTTGTTCTTGCGTGTGCGATAGAAGAGCAAGGTCATCTGCAAAGTCAAGATAGTCCAGTTGCATCCTGGCTGTCCACTGTATAACGTGCTTACAAATTTATAACTGAATTCTTTGAGTCAAACACAAGGTAAAACGTGACACATGCTGCACATCACTTGAAGTGGCCATACATAGTTAGTACGCTGAGGTAAAATATGAAGTTATAACTTCTGTAACTCTTTGTTATGAGTGCAATCTAACCGCAGGTCCTGGGTTCGAACCATGCAAGGTGCAGGAGTTATGGATGAGCACTGCTGATGAGTCTCATATCAGGACAAAACGGCCGTCTACCGCTTCCACGTTTCTAATGGTGGTCGTCTAACAATGATTGATTGATGATTTCAATGTGTACAGACACTAATCTCTATAACTCTAATTGGAAAAATCACTCTCACCTTTTCTTCGATACATCCATGCCGACTAATTCTCAAAAAATGACTTGAATGTACTTACAGCTGTCAATCAAACAATAAACAGCTTACGGCTGTAAGCATTAGCTATTTTCACAAGTGAGATTATAGGAACTCTAGATGTATAAACGTTGTATTACTGAGCCCACTTACTTACAGGCACTTTAAACTAACACTGTCATCTGTAAATTCAACTAATTTGAATAGCATCTAATCAGAATATTATATCATGAAATAACCTTGTACTTGCATCGTTAGTAATCTGATAGATCTGTCTGACCTATCGGTGTTCTATGCTCTCTCTCTCTCTCTGTCACCGTTTTGATTTTCTCTGGTTGTAAATGATTTTAATCAATCCGATATGGTATTATACTACAAAAGGTAATCAATACATCGTCCATGCAACAACAGGGATCATTCAATCAGTCAGCAGCAACGTAGAACTTCGTACGTACGTACGTACATCAGTTCCAGTTGCCATACCACATTTGCACAGACATATAATTTTCAATTCAAATCCTATATTAGTAGAGGTAGTACAAGTATTAGAAGTAATCGGAGAGATTATAGTTCGAAGATGTGATTCAAGAAGTATAATTCAGTGAGATAAGTTTAGAAAGAGAACGATAGAAGTGATGAGGAATTCAGAAGATTAGGATTTGAGAGAACACAAAGAATGAATGAAGCTGCGCCATTGCAGACGGTTTTGAGCCATATCAATCGGGGTCTCTAACCATCGATTATTATCATCTCGAGGACCCCAACCAGATAGTCGACACCTACCGACATGGACTCAGTCCACTTGCCAGTTATAACAACAGGGTGTGTCTACTTAAAAGGTATAAATAGTTCATGACTGATACTTTCCTTGCATTGTGATAGAGAGTGAAGCAGTCGAACGTGTAGACCGCTTCATGTAAATTACGAGTCTCATCAGTGCTGATGGCCTCGTGAGAGCTCGACTGGCTTTTGCTAACCTGCGTCACTTATGGCGTAAACGACATATCCGTTTGCTAACCAAAGGACGAGTCTACTGCGCATTAGTTCGCTACATCCTACTATACGGATTCGAAAAATGGCCGGTGAGAGTAGAGGACATTCGTAGATTGCTTGTCTTCGACCATACATGTCTCCGAAACATTGCTCGTATATCCTGGGACAACCGTATAAGCAATGCTGTTATTAACAAACGAGTACTAGGTAGGGATAGCAAATTAATGGATGAAGTATTGAAACTACATCAGTTGAGGTATCTGGGATATGCTTTATGAATGCCTAACCACCGATACCCTCGATGAGTGATGTTTTGTGGTGTAGGAGTAGGTTGTGAGAAAGCTAGGGGCGGTCAAACCAAAAACATGGCACAAATCCATGAAGTCACTGTCAATGGGACTGAGTCATCTCGGTAGATGCAGAATACCTGGTTGGGGTCCGCGAGACGATACTAACCAATGATTAGAGACCTTGGATGACATAGCTCAAAATCGTTTGCAATGGCGCAGGTGCATCCACTCTTTGTTTTCTCACAAATTCTAACCTTCTGAATTTCTCATCACCTTTTTCTTTCTATTTCTAAATTCATCTCACTGAATTATACTTCTTGGATAATATCTCCGAACCCTAATTTTCTCCATTATTGCTAATACTTCTACTATCGCTACCACTATTGGATTCGAACTGACAGTTGCGTCTCTGTACTAATGCGGTATGGAAACCTGAACTGATGTACGTACGAAGTTCTGCGTTGTATCTGTCTGTTCTTCCTTGCATTATTGTAAAACATCTGAAAAATGCACCTCATTAAACTAGTTTTTCGAAGTAGAACACTTCAAACAAATGTAACACGATATATAAACTATCCTCTATATGTTGTAACGCTTGTTTGAATGATTCCCAGCTAAATCCTATTGCTTAGTATTCTCTGACCGCAATACACTGGACAAGTTCCAAAGAATCAAGAATACGGTGGAACAGGAAAAGATTATATTCCAAATAGTAAGGTTAAATGGAAATAAGAAGCTGAAGGCGAAGGCAAAATAGATACAACGTTAGTTATTTATAGCATTTACATGAGAAGCTTCTGGATAGAAATCCACGTGATCGACTGGATTAGATTTAGCCAATCAGCATACAGCTAACAACACGAGAATTTTCTACCCGGTTCTCCAAGATTCGATCAGGCGCTGACTGGATAGGAAGTTAGCCAATCAGCGCGTAGCAACGTAGTCATGCTTTAATTCATCTATGTCCCACTAACATCTCCCCTTTGAGAAAATTGGTAGGACCTGGTGCTAGTGTCCAACTGCTTCCTGGGTGCCTTGCCACCCGTACTCTTACGATCCGCCTGCTTTGTAGGAGCCATATCTTTAAACAAGCGTCGATTGGGCTGCTTCCCCATCGATAAGTTTTATTGAGGCTCATGAGCAGCATATGGAACAGGGTGTCTCGGACGTGAAATAGGTTTGGCATCTCCTTTCGCTGGTAGGTGAGCTTTCATATTCGTACAGCGGCCACGGATATTCTGAAAAGCAGAGGCTGACTTCCTCTTCCGTTTATCTTGTAACCTTTCACCTGTCTTCTTTGTAAGTATGGGGGTGTCCAATGATGAACACGATAGGCTGCAGACACTTAATGGGTAAATCCATTATACCCAGTTTTTCTAGCATATCTACACCAAAAAAAATCAAGGTTTGGCCGTTCTATCAGATAGCATATTCCTGTATATTTTGTTCTGTTGAAGGAAAATTCCCATTGGAATTCACGAACCCGTTTTATTAACACACTACCTGAAGCGCTTTTAGCTGTTTTCTCAGATGGCTTCATTGGCGGTTTTCCCAGCGAGTTATACGTTTCTCTAAACACTAACTAAGGTGATATCTGATGCCGTGTCGATTTGAAAAAAAGCACCACCGTTCATCTGGATAGTAACATACTTTCTCCGAACATCATAGTCTGTTTGAAAAGTAGCTACCAGAGAAGGTGACTTAGACTCGTACGTAATGCCAATCACCACAAAACTAACACTATATTAAGCTTTTCTATCCATATAATATGAAGCCAACCAGCCATGTAAACCAGCAACAACGAATGCAAGAGAAGACGACCAGTGTAGCAGCCGCCTATGCAGCAGTAGGTCTCAACATACATAAAGGAAAGAGCAAAATTCTCCGATGCAACACAACATGCACCAATCAAATCACGCTTGATGGAGATGCTTTCGAGGACGTTAACCACTTTACATATCTGGGCAGCATCATCGACGAGAAAGGTGGATCCGATGCAGATGTGAGGGCGCGGATCGGCAAAGCGAGGGCTGCATTTCTACAGTTGAAAAATATCTGGAACTCCAAACAAATATCAACAAACATCAAAATCAGGATTTTTAATACAAATGTCAAGACAGTTCTACTGTATGGAGCGGAAACTTGGAGAACTACCAAAGCCATCATCCAGAAGATACAAGTGTTTATTAACAGCTGCCTACACAAAATACTTCGTCTTCGTTGGCCAGACACCATCAGCAACAACTTACTGTAGGAGAGAACAAACCAGATTCCTCCAGCGGAGGAGTAAATCAGGAAGAAGCGGTGGAAGTGGATAGGACACACATTACGTAAAGCACCTAACTGCGTCACAAGACAAGCCCTCACATGGAACCCTCAAGGCAAAAGGAAAAGAGGAAGGCCAAGGAACACACTACGCCGAGAAATAGAGAGAGACATGAGAGAGGAATGAACAAGCATTGGACAGACTGGAGAGGGAAGCCCAGGACAGACAGAGTTGGCTGGAGAAAACTGGTGGGCGGCCTATGCTCCATTGGAGGTAACAGGCGTAAGTAAGTAAGTAATATAATATGAAGCCAACCAGGCATGTAAACCAGCATAAAGTCTGTTGTTATTATAATTATTATTATTATTATTGTTATTATTATTATTATTGTACTTACAGCTAATAATTCTTCTTCTGTTTTATAAGAAATCACTTGTGAACCAACAATCGGTGCACATGTATTCAATGTGAATACATTACGTATAAATGGAGTTGTTTCACCATAATTAATAACCATATTAGCAATCTGTATAACTGGATCTTTATCTGGTACAGGGAAAATACCTTTAAATTGAAATTTACGAGAAAAACAAACGTTTAAAGGTATTGATTAATGGAATTTTTATGAATTTCATGTTGGGGATGTTAGATCCCCAGAACTTGGGTTGATAAAAATGCCTTATTTTGGATTTCACGTTTGCGAGCATGGGCTGATCAGTTGACTTTGAGATTTCATTTCCCACCAGGGAAATCCTTGGCTGTGATTGGCTGCTATGTATTTTAGTGTACTATTTTCTTAACTGTCCCAAGGACGTTTCTATGATGTATAAATAATAAACGAGAATTGTGTGCTTGATTGTATTGTGATTGCTGGGTGTTTGTAGAATATACTTTTTACGCTCACCAAGACTTCTGTTTACAACTTGGGATTCAAGGTAGCCTAACTGGACGCTGGTAATCGTCTCGTTCACGTTTATCAACTAAGATGAACTCGTAATAGCTTTAAGCGTACCTAGTGACGAACATAACAATTCATCTAACAGATGGTACCGCCACAGTCAATAGAATCATGCGTAGATGTGTAGATTGTTGCATAAAGTAGACTAAACCCATGTAACAAAATGATGGGAGACCTACCATCCACACGAGTAGGACCCCATTTTATATACGTAACAACTAGTGTAGATTACTTCGGTCTCATCGTGGTTAAAGAAGGTCGTTATGTTCTAGAATGCTATGGCTGTTCAGTTACATTTTTGAACATCTGAGCAGTTCACTTAGAGGTTGCTTGTGCACTTCCATCTGATTTCTTTTGGATGGCACTGTCAAGATTCTCAAATCGCCCAGACATACCTAAGAAAATATATAGTAATAGCGTAACCAACTCTATTGGGTTAGATCGGGAGTTATGACATTGATAACCTGACTTGAAATGATGACAAAGTGACCGAAAAAACGATTTGGTGGAACATAGAGTCACATAAAAATCCTTTTTATGCAAGCCATCGTGGAGGAATGTGGGAAATATTCGTGAGAAGTGTGCGAAGAGTTCTGAGTGTAGTATCTAAGGAACAAACTATGACTTATGAAGCTTTAACTACCTATTTGACTAGAGTGGAAAGGATATTAAATGTGTCGATTTACAATAACCCATAACAAATCGAGAAACTATTGTCCAAGAATCTATTATTGTTGAGAAAACCGAATATTCCCAGCACTGAAGTTGATTTACACGACAGGTTATTCCTGCCAATGGCGACAAGCACAGCTATTAACGACCACGTTATGGTGTTCACAGATTAAATGAAATCTACCACTTCCTCCGGTACAAATAAATAAGGACACAACAAACACAAAGACTTAGTTTTGGCTACCAGGAATGCTTTCACACGTAATAACTACCTTAAACGACCGGTAATGAGAGTAAATAGGGAGAAAATGATCGCGTTAGACAGGCAAGTGTAATTGAACATTGAAAGTGATAATCACCAGTCAGATACCTAATATTTATTAAATAGGAGCAAAGGATGGCTGTGTGACAGAGAGAATGTAAGAAGGCTTTCAAGAGCAATTGTGCTGAGGGTAAATTGTATCATTGTTGTCTTTGGATGTCTACACTTCTTTTGTTTTTTGTGTGTTGATTTATACTACTTATTAATATTCAGTAAACAGTCGTATTCTTAATAATTTTTAAGTATGAAATATGACGTAAATTATACATAAGCTAACAGCTTATAGTTGTTATTCCCTGTTTTATAAAGCAATTGAATGTTTGTTTAAACGCAACAAGTTTCATTTTTGTTTACTCTATGTTTCTGTTCATTTGTCCAGAATTCGTAGTAAACATTAGACACAGCTATCAACCAAACTATCGTATGTCGTAATTATTCCATATTTTAGTGTTATACAAAGCCATTGTTTTCAGGATTGGTTTACAATAACACCTGAACTACCGACATGAAGCGACGTAGTTGAGTGCATTGACCATTTTATTTATTTTACAAATCTGATTAAGCCGAATGGGTTAGTGTCTAGTGAAATCGTGTTTGGATTTCGTTAATGGCGTATGCGAGATACCCATCTACCAATTAAAGTCCAAGTTTACTGAACAGTGATTCGCTTTGTTCACCTTTAAGGTTACGAAACGTTACCGTTTAAGATAGCAGATATCCGTAGGTGTATTTGAAGCAATGCTCGTGTATTCTGGAACCACTAAGTTAATGAATCTAAGATTAGACATTGGGCACGATGTAAATATAGCCAGCCAACCGACTATTGAAGCAGTGATTTTTTGGGCAACTGAGGCAGTGAGAACATATATGATGCAGGTCAAAGCACCGCTTACATCGATATGTGGTGACGGTTGGTAAACGAATGGGTTGTAACAAAGCTAGGGACGGCCAAATCAAAACATGTAACAACCAGTTTATGAGATTATTGACCATTGAATTGAGCCATGTCAATAGATGCAAATTACCTAGCTGGGGTCCTTGTGATTATTTTAAACAAATGGTGAAAGACTTTTGATGATACAGCTCAAAATCATTCACAATAGCGTAGATGCATTCATTAGTTGTTTTCTCCAAAATCTCAAGTTTCTAAATTTCTCAAAAAGTTCTTTGTTTCACTCTAACTTACACTTTCTCGAGTTATAGCTTCCACCCCTTACCTTTTACATTACCATCAATATTGTTATTACCTCTACTACTGGTGTGAATCAATCAAAAGCAACGTAGAACTTCGTACTTACGTACATCAGTTCAAGTTGCCATACTACATCAGCACAAAGCTTGGTTGAGGAGATAAGAGAGTTATTAGAAGGTGTAAAAAGGATTTGATTGTAACTAATTCAGTTTCGCGTGCTTTTATGGGTATGATGAAGGCGGATGTTACTTCCCAGCTGCCCACACCATGGGAGGGTTCTAGTTGTCAGAAGGGACATCGGCCTCGTGACTGCCAAAGAAACTCGGCTTTCATCATGGGACGTCATAATTCTTCTAAATGAAGACCTTCTAACTCCCAGAGCAGAGTTTATATGGTTCGAACAACTTCTCTTGTTAGAATTTTTTTAGCGAGTTACTATTTTTTATGGGATGGGGTTGCCAAACCCAAGCCCAATCCTCCTCCTTTATCCAGGCTAGGGGACTGGCAGTAGACCCGAAGCGCCTACAGGCGGAGTTCTAATACTGTGTGACTTAACCTGACAGTTTTACTTCAGTGTGGCTAACTATGACAACTTGAACCGATGTACACATGTGTCAGGATCTGTGTTGCGTTCCAGTAACCGACTAACTTCATACAAGTGGTTAATTTATCTTATGGCTGTTGACATAAACACTTAACTGGTCAATTTACTCGCGTTGGTCATTCGAATCCTCCGCATTGATGGTGTTTAGAACTTTATTTGATCAGTTCCATTCGGCAAACGTGTATCCTCTGTGGATTGTCTCAACATTGCCATTACGTCACAAGTATTATAGGCAAAGATGAATAGTGGCTAGCGATGGGATTCACGACGCACAATTCGTCCTATTTAAGATTCATCTTTAGCTTGAAATCATTGCCAAACGCTCTAAACACTGTCGTGCTATCCACTCAACTACTGAGTCCAGACTGAGTCCATCAGCCTTTACAATAATTCGTTTATGTAAAGGCTGCTTGAATGCTCCCATCAAAGTTCAAGTCCTACACTGAGCATCAACTCCAAAATGCACTCAGTCAGTTAGATGCAACGTAGAACTTCGTACGTAAGTACATCAGTTCATGTCACCATACCACATTAGCACAGAGAGATGGAATTGTCAATTCAAATCCAATAGTAGAAGAGGTAGTAAGGGAATTAGAAGTAATCGGAGAAGTTAGGATTAGAAGATATTATTCAAGATTCATGATTCAGTGAGAAAAGTTTAGAAAGTCAAAACTAGAGGTGTTGAAGAATCCAGAAGATTACGATTTGAGAGAACACAAAGAATAAATGCCATGTCATTCAAGGTCTCTAGCCATCGATTATTATCATCTCGCGGATCCCAACCAGATAGTCGACAACTACCGACATGGTTAAGTCCACTCGTCAATGACTTCATAGATTTCTCCCATGTCACACCTCACCCTACCTCACGGATTTCCGTCTCCTTGGGTAAGGGTGCCCACTAAGGGCCTTTAAGAACGGAGCTAATCCTCAAAATACCTTTCATAAAAAGGCCGTACGTGACCGGCCTCATGCAGTTGTCCCTTGGACTCTTCCTTTTCAGGTCCCTCAAGGAACAACCTTCCATAGTGTGGGCAGCCGGGAATTGATAACCGCACTCATACCCGTAACAGCACGCGAGGCCAAATTGGTCGAAATCAAATCCTTCCTACACCCACACATACTTCTCTTCTCTCCACAACACCAAGATTCAGGAATATCCAGCTAAATGGCGCATCCCAAATAGAACAAAAATCACGTCTTTTGAATTCCATTGCTAGCTACCATCTATCTCTGCTTCAGTTAACTAATCAACTTATGAGCAAAGAAAAAACACAACAACTTGTTAGGATATTCATCCAATATCCTAAGAGAATTATTGGTCAATTCCTATTGGTCAAAATTATGGTCGTTATAACTGTCAAAGTCAAATACTTCAATGTTGTTTCTTATTGGTTATCCTGATTATCAATGTCACTTCAAATGTTACTTCCTATTGGTCGGCCTAAACTGTCAATGCCAAAGAATTCGATACTGTTTCTCATTCGACTAAAATGTATAAATACGCATTATCTGTAACGTTTTGTGACCACGACCATGGCTCGGTCCCAGATCCCTAGTCCGGGATCCTGATCCTCTTCTGGATTCAGAACTCGTACTTTCTGGATGCTTGTAGAATACACGTTCTACTTCACATCATGTCTTCTTATTCAACAAAATATGGGGGTTATAATAATAGGATTTGAGTAACATGTCGTGTCCGCGGATCCTCGCTCTCGTTATTTCCGACTAGGTAAACTCGTAATAGTTCAAGTATATCTCAAGTTGACGTGTTTATGTGCAGGCATAACACAACTAAGAATAAAAGTAACAGAAAAACATTTTTTTTTTTAAAAAAAATTCAACAAACCTACCTACCTTTACGACTGGCACATTCAATATCAAAACTTAATATACGTAATGGTGCAATATTACTCCATTGACCTTCTGGTGCATGAACAATCAAAACATCCCATGCTATATCAAATTCAATTTGACATCTTGTTTGACTAGTTGCCAATTTCGATTGATCATTATTTTTTGCACCATTTTGTACAATACTACTACCATTTGTATTAGTAGTATGATGATGAGATTTTTGATTGGTAGTAGTTTGTTTTTTCATTTCATCTAATTTGTATGTTGAATCTCTTAAATAATATTGATTTGCTGGTGCTTCAATCCAACTACATCCAGTCATTTGTGTATCAGTCATAAAACGTATTTCAAAGTCAATATTGGCTTCAAATGCAGGATAGGACTAGTAGTCAATTTGATTTAATAAGGTGGGGAGGCGGGAAAACGAAGAGAAATATACATTTTATTAAATGAAATCATTTTTTGCTAATAAATATTGTTAAGCATAAACAAGTAAGCAATTCATGATGAGTTTCTCAGTTAGATCCAATTAACAGTCAGACGATAGTGTACTGTACGTCAGTCATTCAATTAAAACAGGTTGCCATACCACCAAATTAGCACAGAGACGCAACGGTCAGTCCAAATCCCATAGTAGTAGAGATAGTACAAGAATTACTGATAATGGAGAATACTAGGGATCGAAGCTATTATTCGAGAAGTGTAGCTCAATGAGATAATTTTTGAAAGAGAATGATAGAGATGATGAGTAATTCATAAGATTAGAATTTGAGAGGACACAAAGAATAGACGCATCTACACTATTGCAAACGATTTTAGTGCCATGTCATTCAGAGTCTCTAACCATCGGTGAATATCGTCTCGCGGACCCCAACCAGGTAGCCCTACATTTACTAACATGACTCAGTCCACTTGTCAATGATTTCATGGTTTTCTGCAATGTTTTGGTTTGGCCGCCCCTAGCTTTCTTCCAAACTACTATTACACTACAAAACATAGTTCGATGAGTTTGTCGGTGGTTAGGCATGTCCCAGCCACCTCAACTGATGAAGCTTCAATACTTCATCTAATTAACTGACATCCCTGATTAGTGGTCGTTTCCTAACGAGAGCATTCCTTACTCGGCTGTCCCGGGATATATCTGTCTTTATTCATTTAGACACCTAAATATTTATGTTTCAAACAAGTTAGTGGATTTGTGTGTGGGCTTGGATCCTGAACCGACAACCCGAACCGGAACAAGTGGGTCTTTTTATAGCAAACCACTCACTCCCCGAGCCTTACACTTACAGATCTAATCCACAAGACTGTGGAGAAAAAATTACGAAAGACAATCCCATGGTAGCCAGCGACCGATCATAAGTTCATACGCTATTTGTTCCATAAGGATTTTGGAACACATACCTACCATTGGTTTGGAATGACGGTTTTCCAACTTCCCTACAGCATAGATCCTTCATAACCACCAACCCAGTTAAAGGATCAGATTACTCGATTTTCATTGCCTTCATTTTTTTTTAAACAACGGGAAGGTGGTGGTGGTGAGTAGGACTTTTCAAGATGGACTGAATTCAGTGCACGCAGACTTAAAGACATGTTCTTTATTCGGATTGGCTTATCTCTACAGTTTAACTATCTGAACCTTACATACATTTTTAACTGTGGAGGTTTCTGAAGAAACCCCCCCCCCGCTAAATACTACAATCATTTTAGTTTTGTACTTTATCGTACTTAATATGAGCTTTGAACAAACAGGCATACTATTCATTAAGCATGTTAAAAAGTGAATAATTATGTAAATAAGTTTGTGAGACCACTGCCGTCGTCGCCCACACCTAGACCCTCCCCCAACCACCACCACCAAAACAACCAAACTGAGTAAAATATCATTTCAACTATAAAACTAACCTGTAATGAGTAATCAGCAAATGATATACCATTATCTAATATACGTTTAGCTGGTGCAATTAAACGTGGCAGTGCTAAAGTTATACGAAGAAATGGTATACTGTTTTTCCCATGATAACCATATATATCTACGGAAGGAAAAAAATGATGATTATGATTGATAAATCCTGGTTTATAGAAGAATAAAAAGTCAAACAAAATGTACATTAAAACTGGTACTTACTTACTTACTTTCGCCTGTCAATCCCCCAATGGAGCATAAGCCGCCGCCGACCAGTTTTCTCCAAACCAACTCTGTCTGTCCTCGGCTTCCCTTACCCAATTCTGTCCAATTTTTGTTCATTCTTCACTCATGTCTTTCTGTCTCTATTTCTCGGCGTAATGTGTTCCTTGGCCTTCCTCATTTCCTTTTGCCTTGAGGGTTCCAAGTGAGCGCTGGCCATGTGGAGCAGTTAGGTGCTTTCCGCAATGTGTGTCCTATCCACTTCCACCGCTTCTTCCTCATTTCCTCCTCCACTGGAATCTGGTTTGTTCTCTCCTACAGTAGGTTGTTGCTGATGGTGTCTGGCCAACGAATTCGAAGTATTTTGTGTAGACAACTGTTAATAAACACTTGTATCTTCTAGATGATGGCTTTCTTAGTTCTTCTTCAAGTTTCCGCTCCAGACAGTAGAACTGTCTTGACATTTGTATTGAAAATGCTGATTTTGGTTTTGGTTAAAAGTTGTTTGGAGTTCCAGATACTTTTCAACTGTAGAAATGCAGCCCTCGCTTTGCCGATCCGTGCCCTCACATCTGCATCGGATCCAACTTTCTCGTCGATGATGTTAAAACAGACTCAATGACACTATCAACGCAATTCACACACACACACACGATAGACAAACCGACAGATACAACTCAGAACTTCGTGCGTACATATGTACATCAGATCAGGTTGCCATACCAAATTACCACAGAGACGCAACTGTGAGTTCAAATCCAATAGTGGTAACAATAGTAGAAGTATTAGCAGTAATAAAGAAGACTAGGGTTCGAAGACATGATTAGAGAAGTATAATTCAGTAAGATGAATTTAGAAGGAGAAAGGTAGAGATTATGAGGGATGCAGAAGGTTAGAGTTTGATAGAACACAAAGAGTGGATACACTTGTGCCGTTGCAAACGATTTTGAGCCATGTCGTTCAAGGCCTCTAACCATTGGTGACTTTCGTCTCGCATACCCCAACCAGGTAGTCTACATCTACCAACATGACTCAGTCCACTTGTCAGTGACTTCATGGATTTCTGCCATGTTTTGTTCTGGCCACCCCTAACTTTCTCCCAACCTACTACACCATAGAACATAGCTCGTCCTGGCAGTCGGTGGTAAGGCATTCGTAACGCATGTCCCAACCACCTCAACTGATGAAGTTTCAGTACTTCGCCAAATGATCTGCTATCCCTACCTAGAACTCGTTTCCTTACGACAGCATTGCTTACTCGGTCGTCCCAGGATACACGAGCAATGCTTCGGAAACACCGATGATCGAAGACTAGAAACCTACGAATGTCCTCTACTCTTAACGTCCATGTTTCGCACCCGTATAGTGTAACAGAGTGAACTGCTGCACAGTACACTCATCCTTTGGTTAGCGAACGGATATCTCGCCTACGCCATAGGTGACGTAGGTTGGCAAAGGCCAATCGAGCTTTCTGCATCGATGCCGAGATTTCGTCAGTCACCGGGCCATCAGCGCTGATGAATCTCTGAGATAACTGAAGCGGTCAACACGCCCGACTACTTCACTCTCTATCACTAGTTCAGGTGAAGTCGCAAGCCAATCCTGAAGCAACATTTTGCATTTCGAGGGTGAGAACCACATCCCGAACATGCTTACATTGTTTCACATGTAGTCAGAAGACTGCATTTTGTCATCGGCATATTCTAAGTCAGTAAGGCGATTTTCCTGGTAGAAAGTCGACTCCTGAAAAGTTGGACGAAGATAATGTTATATCTACAAGCATGTCTATGATAAAATTAAACAAGAATGGAGACAGTGGACATCCCTGACGGACGCCACTTGAAGTAGAAAATTCGGATGACATTTCGCCATAGTCTTTCACCCGACCACTGGTGTTCGAGTACACTTGTCGGGTGAGAGCCTATGTGTCTACACATCTTCATGTAGATTCCTAACTTAATTCTGCGTTCATGACACTATGTATCTATCAATCTAGCAAGTTCACATATTAGCTTTGTTTTGCATTAAACCCCGACCGAAGCTGCTACGTTGACGCGGTGGTCGGGCTTGTCTATTGTGATGACCCAACCGAGCTATATTGGCTGGAACACATGTTCCTGAAGGTTCTACCATGCCAGCCAGAGAGGTCGATTGGAGAACGATGAGACTAAGAGCAGCTACTCAAAGACTGAGGGTGAAGTGGTACTGCTGACTGCAGAGGGGTGTGACAGCAGTAAGGTGTTTCCCTTGGACAACCAGCATCTGCAGCGATGCTGCCTTCTCACAAAGTTAGAAACCTTGAACGACATGGCTCAAAATCGTTTGCAATGGCACAAGTGCATCCATTCGTTGAGCTCTCTCAAACACTAATCTTCTGGAATCGTTAGCACCTCTATCTTTGTCTTTGTAACCTTATCTCACTGAATTATACTTCTTGAATACAAATATCTTCAAACCCTAGTCTTCTTCATTACCAATAATACCTCTACTATCTTTATCACTATGGGATTTCATTTGACAATTGCGTCTCTGTGCTAATGTGGTATGGCAACCTGAACTGATGTACTTACGTACGAAGTTCTACGTTGCAACTGACTGACTGACTGACTTCCTAACGTAGGATTTATGCTTATGTTTTTGTTACACAGTGCACAGGTTGATGTAACTTGTGTATTTCAGGTGTATATTGAATGTCCACTTGTTAATATAAACAGTTGAGAGTATATCTTCCCTACTCATTTAACAGTAAATCTTAACTAGCTTATTAAGTCAAGTTTCATAATCATGTAATTTCATATTGAAAACGCATATTGCACCTTGTCATGTGCATAACTTATTCAAAAGTAGTTTGATCGTTTACGCTTCATTTAATGTTTGATTCCGTTGTTCACTGGTTCCAAACGCTCACTGCTACCTGTAGACTACAATTCTGTCATAAATCGCATACAACGTAGAACTTCGTACGTATGTACGTACATACATCACTTCAAGAAGTTACCATAACACATTAGCACAGACACGCAATGGTCACTTCAAATCCCATAGTAGTAGAGGTAGTAGTAGAAGTATTAGCAGAAATCGGAGAGATTAGGGTTCAAGGATATGATTCAAGAAGTAGAATCTAGTGAAATAAACTTAAAAAGAAAAAGATAAAGGTGATGAGGAATTCTGAAGGTTAGAATTCGAGAGAACACTTACCAATATGACTCAATCCAGTTGTCAGTGATTTCATGGATTTGTGCCATGTTTTCGTTTGGCCATTCCTAGCTTTCTTTCAACTTACTTCTACACCGCAAAACATAGCTCGAAGAGGCAGTCGGTGGTTAAGCATGTGCGCTGTCAAGTTTGCTCAGTCACAAGTTGAACTTATACGCTACGAGTCTAGCGGTAATACTAAGTGACCTAGCATAGCAAAGTCTTAAACTAGTTCAAGATAAACTAGCTTCGTATTACGTACATACTAGAGTGCAGACAATCAATCATAAGAGTGAATGACAACCAACAATCATAAAATTAAACGTCAAAACCAAATTCATACTACATATGATGGAAATGACATGATGTTAGCTACAACGTTAACAATCTATTTTTAATTCCAAGATCAATGTAATCATGCAAAATGGAAAACAATACTATGTTGTAGATGCCGATCTTCAATGTTCAATTTCACAAAGAATTAATTATTGAATAAGTGAATCATGAAAAGTCAGTCAGTCAGATGCAATGTAGAACTTCGTACGTACGTAAGTACATCAGTTCATGTCGCCAAACCACATCATCACAGAGATGTAATTGTCCATTCAAATCCAATAGTAGAAGAGGTAGTAAAGGTAGTAGAAGTAATCGTACAGGTGAGCATTAGAATATATTATTCAAGAAGTATGATTCAGTGGGAAAAGTTTACAAAGTTAAAGAATCCAGAAGATTAGGATTTGAGAGAACACAAAGAACACAAATGTACTGGCGCCATCGCAAACGATTTTGAGCCATGTTGTCATTCAGTGTCTCTAACCATCGATTATTATCATCTCGCGGAACCCAACCAGGTGGAGGTAGTAGACAATTACCGATATAGCTAAGTCCACTCGTCAATAACTTCATGGATTTCTGACATGTTTTAGTTTGGCATGAAAAGTAATGAAAACTAATGTAACATCAATCAATCAATCAATCAATGACGACATTGATATAAAGAAATATATTCGAATCAAATTCAAATGATGCAGGAGACAAGACAAGACAAAACAAAACACAAAAAACTTTGATTACTACCACTACCTGAAAATACAAATCATCCAGTTCCTATTAAAACGAAAAATAGATTTTTTAAAAAGAAAACAAATTGAAAATAAAACGTAATAATTTTTTTAGAAAAACGTGAAAGTTTTACTTTATCAATTAGTAGTTACGATCAGTAGTATTCAGTGAGTCAGTCAGTTGCAACGTAGAACTTCGTACATATGTACATAAGTTCATGTTGCCATACCAGATTAACACAGAGACGCAAATGTCAAATCAAATCCCATAGTGATAGTAGAGATAGTAGAGGTATTAATCGTAATGAAGAAGACTACGGTTCGAAGATATTATTCAAGAAGTATAATTCAGTGAGATAAGGTTAGGAAGACAAAGGTAAAGGTGCTGACGAATCCAGAAGATTAGGATTTCAGAGAGAGCTCAACGAATGGATGCACTTGCACCATTGCAAACGATTTTCAGCCATACCGTTCAAGGTTTCTAACCATTGGCGACTTTCGTCTCGTAGACCCCAACCAGGTAGTCTACATCTACCAACATGATTCAGTCCACTAGTCAGTGACTTCATGGATTTCTGCCATGTTTTGGTTTGGCCGCCCCTAGCTTTCTTCCAACCTATTCCTACACTACAAAACATAGCTCGTCGTGGCAGTCGTCGGTTAGCCATACGTAACACATGTCCTAACCACCTCAACTGATGAAGTTTCACCACTTCATTTATTGATCTGCCATCCTTAATTAATACTCGTTTCCTAACGACAGCACTGATTACTCGGTTGTCCCACGATATACGAGCAATGCTTCTTAAACATCTATGATTGAACACTAGTAACCTACGAACATATTCTACTCTTAACGGCCATGTTTCACAGCCATATAGGAGAACGGAGCGAGATCAAGAAAGGAAGAGTTAGAAGACAATGGAATTTGTATGAAACGCATGAATAGTGACACTGGATTGATGATGGATTGCAACAGGAACAGTCCATTTCGATATGATGAACTGTTATTTTGCAAATGAACGATTTACGATATGATTTTCCAATTTTACTGAGTAACTCTGTAATTTTCGTTAAATACAATTCGGTTGCCCCACCTGTGTTCTCGTTCACTACACTATTAGCACTTTTAGAATGACTACGGAGTATTTTCAAACTGAACAACAGTTTGAAGAACTAACTCTGAATGACGCTTGATGAGGGTCAACCATCACGTTAATCTATAGTAATTATTATTATACAAGCACCTAAACATTGATGCACTACACAAATTAGTAAACTTGTGAGTAGGTTGGCTGGTGTATTGTTCGCGTACCACACTGTGAGAAGGCACTGAGTAGGACTTCTGTGCAATTAGCTATAATTAAACACTGCAACAGTAAAATAATGAAAAAAATGAACTTTGTATATAAGGCTTAATGAGTATTATTAAAAAAAGGTTAGAAATTTTTTTCTTAGTTCTTCAATGTCGCAAATACTCATTTTCTGTCAAGTCAGTTTCTTAGCAAGCAGTTTCCCGATGCGAGTGTTCGGAATATTCTGCGTTTTTTTGATCACTGTGTGATATTAAACGATTGCAGTACAATGAAACTATGCTGATGGCCAAGAAACAAGAAACGCTCTGTTGTAGTCAAAGACCTTGCTGCATGCGAGATTGCCTTCTCTGACCCATCAGGCATGATATGCGAAATGCTTGCTCCAATGCCGTAGTTTGAAGCATCCGACGCTACTACAATAGGAAGGGATGGGTCATAGTGTGTCAGCGACAGATCCGAGAGTAGCAGTTTTTTAACCTTCTCGAAAGCAGTTTGACAACTTTTGGACCAACACCACTTTACGTTCTTTGTTAAAAGACTGTTTAATGGGGCACGTAGACGATGAAGGTCAGGGATAAAAGCTCCATAATGACTAACGAGCCGCAGAAAGGATCGAAGTGTGGAAACATCTGTCGGTTTCGGCATTGCTTTCAAAGCTTGAGTGTTTTCTGGATCTGGTTTTCTCCCGTCTTTATCGATAATAAAACCGAGGTAGCGTACACTGCATGAAAAAGTCGCATTTTTCCACACGAAGCCGGAATCCATATTCAGCTATTCTTGATAGCACCTGGTCGAGTTTCTTTTCTAAGTCTATTCTATCAACGCCCATAATTATTATGTCATCCAGGTAAGCTGCAACGCCAGGGAGATCATGTAGCATAGTATCCATCACCTGTTGAAATATGGAGGGCGCAGTTTTGACTCCAAAAGGTAACCGATTATATCGGAATAGGCCCTTATGAGTGTTTATAGTAAGCAGATCTTTACTTTCATCAGCGACAGGAATCTGTAAATAAGCTTCCGATAAATCCAGTTTTGCAAACACCTTGCCTCCATTTAGCTTAGCGAAAAGATCCTCAGGTATAGGCAAGGGATACTGGTGGGGTTCTAGAGCATCATTCAGTCCCGTAGAGTAATCAGCACATAGACGGTCACTTCCGTTTGATTTCTTGACCACCACAATCGGTGCAGCCCATTTGGAGAAACTTACAGGTTCAATAACACCCACTTTTTGAAGTCGTTCCAGTTCCTGTTCAACTACTGGGAGAGAAGCATAAGGTACAGGTCTTTTTGGTCGAAAAACAGGAATAGCTGTTGACTTGAGAGTTAGTAGTGCTTTGGCTTTGGTACATTCGCCTAACGCTTCCGAAAATACTTCATGATGCCTTTTTATAATGGCATTTCTCAGATTTGACTCTAAAGGGTTATTGATTCTAACTCGGCTGCAGATATTGTTGATAGAATGGTCTGTTAATTGTAATGCATCTATGAGATCCAACCCCAATAAATCAAGGTCTGAGCTCTTATTTAAGTATACAGTTGCACTCGTTGTTGCCCACATTTTTTGAAACAGTGCACAATATTTTTTTTTCCAACAATATTTAACTTGCCACCAGATGCGCTGTGTGCTAGTTGCTTCGTTTGGTGAACTGTAGGTCTTCCAATTTTCTCCCAAGTTTTTGGACTGATAAGGGTGATGTCAGATACTGTGTCAAGTTGAAGACGGATACGCTGTGAATTCATATCCAAAGTCACATACTTTCTTCTGTGGTGAATTCTCGTCTGGTTATGAGACACCAATACTTTGTTTATTGTCTTACCAGATCTGTATTTCTTTGAATAGACTTTCGCGGAGTAATGTCTGCGAGTTTCTTTTCTACATCGAGATTCTTTGTGACCCTTTTTGTGACATTCAGCCAAATAGAACGAAGATCATTATCAAACTTACGCACGATTACTAAAATGGAATTATGAATAACCTGTCAGTGGATATCCCGGACGCTATTCCGCATTTTTGTTACTTCGGTTGATATGATCGTAAATCACTAAAAGAATGCTGGCATATTAAGAAAAAAGATCTTACGTAGCTATACTCAGTGTTAAGAATGATACGTTTAGGATAGTTAAATCAAGATGCTGCCATTCGAAAGCCCTACATTCGACGTAATTTTACCGTTTCTTCATAATATCCAAATAATTTACAAAGTGCTCTTTCTGACCGTCTGTTAATGAACACACGAACTAACAAAATCAATACTATTAATAAGAAAACTTAAAGACAAACAATTATGAAGATGAGGCAACATGAATGTAGTTAAATTCAGAGGGGCTTCATGTGATTACTAAAAGAGGAGGCAGAAATTTATTTTAACTTAGAATACATATTCACCCAGATACTGTGAAAACTACCTTGATCAAGTATGCTGAACAGTACTGCATTACACAAACTAAGAGTACAAATAATGTGACAAGTAACAACAAAACTGTTTCAAACTAACTAAACAGTATAAAACTTGGTTTATGTTCAGATAATAATTTGATAAGCAATGTTAATTCACTAATGACGAACATGAAAAAGTAGAAACCAGAATAGTCTAATCCATCAAACTACCTATCGATAATAATTATAATCCTTAAACTTGAAAAAAGACTGAACAATATATTTGGCGTTTAATACAAACTAACCTTATAATGTGACACATCAAATTGCTGAAAAATAATATTGTCCTTTTTCGGATCCAACTTTTCTAGTTTACGTCTTGGCCAATGCGAATTTGTCAGAAAGTCCAAATGAGATAAAGCAGAACTTTCGTCTACTAAAGCTATATCTTCAGTTTCAATATCATCCAACAACATTAATTCCTGCTCGAACTTCGAAGGCTCCGGGGTATCATCATGGTTACCTCTGAGTGGAAAAAATTATACATTTTAGATGATGTGGAGTGAATCATGCCAGTAAAGTCATGTAAGTTTAAATAATATATTCATCTAGATTTGATGAGTTATAACAAGGGAGTCTATGAATCATCAGATTTATGATTTCTGTCACACGATGACACATTACACAGGCAACACTTACTTCCCTAATGTTGGCTTAGATAAACTTCTATCGAAAATGATTGAGTGACGATTTCAACATGTGAAAACGCTGATCTCCATAACTCTAATCGAAGAAATCATCAGCTAAACACGAATATCACATGTTTTCATCATTACGGATCATCAGTTACATGATTAAAACAAATTTGTCATACAAGATGGGATCACTTACAATCGAAACCATCAGTCCAACTGCATAGAAAATACAAAACATGCAAGAATAACATTTGCTGGTTGTTCTGTGTCAACCTTGAGGACAATACCATTCAAGTGTTAACGATTAAGCATACAAGTTAAGATAAATTATTAAACACAGAATGACATCAAGCATTTGCTTTTATTTGTATCCGATCTAGAACTCCGTTTTTAACGACTTCGAGACAAACTTTAGGGGTGTTCGGGAAGTACTATCAGTCGAGTTTGGTGAAATGTGACTGAAAAGCTTTAAGTTTCTTGGTCTACGGTTTTCCCCGAAACATGAAATTTTTCGGAAAACACCAAAAAATACTAAAGGCAGAGAATTGGATCTGATATAACCCAGTCAACGAAAACAAAATATTCAGAAATAAAAAAGTTGTCGTTATAGAGCGTTACAAACTCCATGCTTCTCATGAGGTTAGCCCCATCGTGGACTTAGATAGATGCCACAGCTGACTAAGAAACAGTTCCCACTTTAAAAATATCAACATAATTACAAGTACTATACAGAATGTTTCACAAAACAACTGTACGGAAAATACCTTGGTTTTTTGAATGAATTCGGCCCTTTCTGAGTGACCAATGAAGGACGCTTAGTAGGCATTTTAATTTCAGCCTCTAACAAGTTATTGTTCAACCTGGAAATACCTTGTGTCCTTGAGAAGGTGAAGATAAAAAAGTGAGGTTGTCTGTAAGGGGAAAATGGAACAGAAATAGAGAACTGATGACTCAGTAAGCAAAAAGAAAGATCTGATTTTGGTTAAAGAAAGTAACTGACAACAATCTGAAATAACACAAGCTAGTATTGTGATAAAACCGGTAATCGGAATTAGACGCTGATAGCACAAGGTATCAAACCCATTCCCTACTTCGTAATTTTAATAAAGCGCCTTCAAAATCGAAGGTAAAAGGCCTTCAAAGAAGAAGTACTCAAACAACAAAGCACATCTCGTAGATATCATGAAAACTATATATATATATATATATATATATATATATATATATATAAAAAACTTACACCTTATTTGGTTTTGATGAAAAGTTGAATTTCTCCAATTTTACTTTGGTAGGTTACATGAAAGTGAAGAGATTTGCTGGGATCTTGTACATTGTTATACTTTTCAATTTTTTGTTAACTTTGAATAAACAATCAAGAATTAGGGATGCTTTATTCTTCCGTTAGTGTTTGCGAAACTCAGTTAGACCGTTTTCAAACTTCACTATTAAGTCATATGAGAAAATATTTGGGACCAACGTCTTGAAATTTCACTTAGGAAAAGACAGGTGGTTGGCTCGCCATCGTATGTCCTTGTTAGAATTGGTCTCTCATTTAATCTACTTTTCTTTCGAATTTAATGATACATGAAACAGTGAGGTAACGTATTCCATTTGTTGATGATTTTTTATGAATCACTGTGCGTGTATCACCACTTTGTTGATCAATTAAACATTTCGATACACTCGAAAGCATTTATCGACAACTTATAAACTCTATATTATCAGAAGATTCCTTCAGGTCATTCTGAGGCTGAAATACCATCAATATTTCTGTTATCTCTCTCCAAATCTTTGTAGTGTCGTCACAAAATGAAACCAATGATAAGAGACTTTGGAAGGAAATTTACTCATATGATGGACAACATTGGTCCCTAAACTGTATCTTGAGACTCTGTACTAATTACACGTTTATAGGCAGACTACTAAGAATTAACTGGCACACTACTTCCACTCCTAACTTGGAAACAATTTATCCATGTTGATTAGTCTTCTCCAGTACTAATATCACTTGACTTATATAACTACCAGTTGTGAGGGCGTTTCTCAAAAGCCTTAACAAAAACGATGAAAGCTACATCAATACTAAGTTTATCATCTATGAGAGAGAACCAGCATTCGAAAGGTACTACTAGGTTTATGAGATATGAATAACCTGTTGTGAATTAGTGCTGCTTTTAGGAAAGCATCTAGATTTGGTCTTTATAGATAGAAAGTTCCTTATCCAATATCCAATCTATTCTTCACGAGTTAGTGTGAACCATTTGATTTCTTTGTGCTTGATTCTTGTTCTTTAGGTACGTTTCCAGGTGTTCGGTAATGTCCAATGGATGGAGGTCTAGCCACTCGACTGTCTAATTCTAGTCAGTTGGCAGTTGGTTGTGAGTTTGTATGTCTCGGGATCTGAATGAAACGTTTGTTTCAGGGCAGTAGGGTTTCTAAATACCAGCAGCTGTCACATTACCAGAACGGAGATCAGTTAGTTGCAATGTGGAGAGTAATAAGTTGTGGTTGTGTTTCGTTCTCTGAGCTGGTTGTTTTGGTTGTGGAGCTTTCATTGTTCTTCTGAACAACATCATCAGCACGAACTTCAGATAGAAGAAGTGAAGCATTAGAATTTCTCCACGTTTGACCTGTAGCTTGTTCTGCTAACCTCGATCTTGATTGGTTGTTGTTGACCTTTGACCTGTCGTTGTTTGCAACTACGTTTTGATTGCCTCCCTCTTTTGATCTGTTTCTTGATCCAGTGTCACCTTTGATTCTCCTGATTGGTTGATATATTGGGTCAATGTCGATGTGTTTGTTGATTGCTAATTGACCTGAGTGAGCCAAGCTTCTAAAAATTCTCTAGTGTTCTTTGTCCTCCCCCTACCCAGTATTTCCACGTTGTTCCAATCAAATGTGTGTCCATAGTTGTTCAGAAGAACAATGAAAGCTATACAACCAAAACAACCAGCTCAGAGAACGAAACACCACCACAATCATCCACCTGAGCTACAAGTTTTCTCCACCATCTCAGAGTAATAAGTGTTACGGGAAAAATGAAGACATTTGCTGATTAAAACCTTTATATAAATATCATTAATTTCACTGAGTTTTTTGGGTATATTTGTATTACTTAACTTATGAACTTGTTTGATTTATTATTTTCAGACATTTCGGTTTCTAATTGGTTTGCTGATTGTGAGTTTTTGCTCCAGGAACCTATGAAATTGAAGAACTGCATTTTGGTAGACTATTTGTGAATTGCGAATAAACTTTGGTACCTAACTTTGGAGTTTGGTTCTGTTGTTAATTTGGGTTCGTGAATTGCAAATAGATCGACATACTGTACTTCAATAACGGGAAGGAGCAAAACTTGGACGTAACAAAAGTTCTTCAATTTTAATTCTGTTGTCATACATTGGATACGTCTGGACATTTTGGGTCCAATTTTCGGTCTTATTGGTCGAATTCGTTTGGATTAATTCACATTTGCTTGGTAACCGATTTTCGAACAAAGGCATACAATGGAAACCAGAAGCAAAAAGCCGAAGGAAAATGACGAAATGGATGGTAAAGATTCTAAAGCTGTCTGTGGTATGTCTGATTTTAATGATGATAAACGTGACGATATTAGTGTTAATAGTAAGTCCTCAGCTCAGTTTAGTACTTCTAGATTGAGGTTAGATAAGGCATTACTAAAGAAGAAGAATTTGGAAAGGAGACTTGAGTTAGAAAGGCAGCTTAAAATGTTAGATCTTCAAGAGGAGGTTGATATGGCCGAATTAGAATGTAAGGTCATAGAAAACGATAACCGACTGTCAGTAGACAAATCTGAGATAAATGCTAAGGTGGAAAGGTACTTGGATTGTGACATTGCGCGTAATAAGCATTCCGTGGAGGTATTTAACACCTCAAAATGCGATTGGATTGATGAATTAAAGGATACGTTACGTACTACGGTTAATAATACGGTTTTGCCTAAGATCGATATGATGTTTTTTGACGGACAACCAAGCCAGTACCACCGTTTTATTAGTCAGTTTACAAGCATTATAGAGAGTAAACTGTCTGACAAATGCCAGTTGTTGTCATATTTGTCATACTATTGTAAAGGAAAGGCCAGAACGGCTATTGAAGCTTGTATTTCCTTGCCAAGTCACTTGGGTTACAATAGAGCTAAACAAATTTTGTATGATCTATTTGGTAAAAAACATTTGGTAAACCAAGAAACTTCCGATCGATTCGGCAGAACCTTTAACCGAACTCCAGCTGAGAAAGTGGAAACATTTAAAGGACATAACCCTGCCGAGGTTGCAAAGTAATCTTGTCGGAATATTGATTGGGTGTGATGCGCCAGATGCACATTGCGTACTTGAACAACGCCTGGGAGATAGGAAGCATCTGTTTGGTGTGCATACTCACCTCGGTTGGATGATTTTAGGTCCAAAAGGAGTATCGAGGTCTTTACATCAAGTTCAGTGGTATTACTGTTCTACTAATGATATTTTGCGAGATGTAGAAAGATTATATAATCATGAGTTCGAGGACGCAGATGGGTTTCGTAATGGATATTCTGTCGAAGATAAAAGAGCTCTAGAAATAGTTAATAGTACCTTTAGACTGGAGGGTGGCCATTTCCAAGTTGGTCTACCCTGGAAGTATGATAAGGCAAGACTACCGAATAATTTGGAACTAGCTGAACGTAGACTAGAGTGTTTAAGGAAGAGGTTTATGAAGGATAATAGTCTTCTGTTGAAATATCAACTTGTAATGAATAAACATTTAAGTAAGGGTTACATCATTGAAGCTAGTAAGGAGGAATTCGACCGTGATGCTGTTCGTTGGTATATTCCTCATCATCCTGTTATCAACCCTAAAAGGCCTGGAAAATTAGGAAGTGTTTTTAATTGTGCAGCTGTCTATCAAGGTTGTTCTCTTAATGATCAGCTTTTGAGAGGAACAAATACCTTAAATAGTTTAATTGGCATACTTCTACGATTCAGATTATGCAACGTAGCATTAGCCGCTGATATCGAGGAGATGTTTTGTCAAGTAAAGATCCCGAGACGAGATAGGGGAGCGTGTCGACTATTGTGGTGGGAAGACGGTGATATAGGACGAAAAGCTAAGGGATACTGTTTGACAGTTCAGCCGTTTGGAGCCGTGTCCTCTCCTTTTTGCGCTAATTTTGCTCTTACGAAGACGGTAGATATATTCGGAAAGGAATTGAATAAAGATGTCCAGGAAGTTGTAGATAAGAGTTTTTATGTTGAAGACTATTTTACTTCAATTGATAATGTGCAGGATGCAATCGAACTTGCAAAAACCCTTGGTCCACTCCTCAGAAAAGGTGGGTTTAGACTTACCAAGTGGATGAGTAACTGTTTACAGGTTCTCGAATCAGTTCATCCAGAAGAGAGCGCAAAAGCCGTAAAAGAGATTGACTTTGAGAGACTTCCTACGGAACGCAAATTGGGATTATTTTGGAACACTATGGTTAATGCGTTTGAATTTAAAGTTCGCATACCGAAATGCCCTCTCACCAGGCGAGGTATATTGTCGAGTGTAGCTTCATTATGCGATCTCTTGGGATTGTTAGCACCATTCATACTTCCTATGAAGCAGTCACTTCAACGTTTAGGTAAATTGGGACGAAGAGATTCCAAATGAGGAAAGCAAACGCTGGTTAGAAATTTTAAGTGAATTTCAGAGGGTTGAGAACGTTAGTTTTCCACACTGTGTATTGTTTCCACAATCAGATCGCTCGCTCCTGGAACTTCATATTTTCTGTGACACTTCGGAAACTGGATATGGTCAGTGGCATACGTCCGCTCTTACATCCAT